GCAACAAAAGGGTCAACAGTGAAGAAATGTTTCAAGAGGAATGGGCAAGTAGAGAATTATCCTAATGAAAATGAAACCAAAAATCAAAAGTAGCAAATGAGAGGTGAGGCATAGCAGAGAAATGCAGCCAGTTATGATACTCACATCTGTGAACCTTTTTCCCTTCAGAGTTCAGTAAAGTCAACAGCTTAAACAAAGTCTTGTCCTCCTCCCAAAACTGATTACCTGCCCTTGACTTTAAAATGGAGCTGACCATGAAAAGACAAGACACTGGCAAATCCCACGTTATCTGCTCATGCTGCAAATGTAGGCTCCTCCATGTGTTTTAAACAACATTCAGTGTGGTCTTTGTAAATTTTCTTCATCTGCCTGTCTGGGAATTTTCCTGTTGAAAACAAAATTTCCCTCATGGTTGAATGCGAGTATTTCTAGAATGGTTGATGGACACAAACATCACCAGAACCATTCTCATTAGAGGTGAGTGGTAATTACTGGCAGTGTCTCTAGGGCTGAGGCAATTGTGTGTGCGTACAAAAGAGAGACACTGAGTGTGAATTAATTTTGAAATGGAAAAGCAAAATGCTGCTTGTCAAACCATTTTCTATTTCTTCTACCAAGCTGCCGATCACCAAGGCTGGCAATATTATTTTGGCAGAACATCCCAGACTGTGACATGCCTATAGTAAAAGTAGTAATACCTAGTGCGTGTTTGGAGAAGAAGCAACCCGAGCATAATTTTTCCCTACCTAAACACGCAAAGGACTGAGCCCTAAATAGCCAACAGTTTTCTGATCCTTCACATGGCAATCAGCTCACGGTGCCTAAGGACAGGGCTGGCCCTGAAAATCAGTGCTTGGGGGTGGAAGGAGGCCCACACCAGCTGCCCCAGGGGCGCCTTTTCTCCACAGGCTTGATCATTTTAGTCCTTGCATTTTGGAGGCCCCGGCTCTTGCTCCTAGAAAGCAAAATCATGCTTGTCCTGGCAATGGGAAATCCTGACGGGGATCTCCTTTGTTTCTTGCAAAAGTCCCTCTGCCAACTTCCCTTCTGTATGTTCAGAGAGCCAAACAGAGAGCGGAGCCCAAAAGAGAATTTTCAGCACCCGCTTCTTCAACGAAGTGCCCAGGAAAATGCGCCCTCATCTGTGAAATGCTAATGCCACCCCGCACAAGCACAACCCGCCCCACCCGCGTCAGGGCAGGTTGAGCTGGGGCGGGGGGTCGCTCTCCAGAGCCAGCTGACGGACACCGGGGCTGTGGCCCAACACATCTGGGGAGAGCCGAGGCTGGAAGGTGCGACGCGGAGGTAGCACCTCTCCCCCGCTTGCTGGGCGAGCAGCGCGCCACTTCCTTCCTGAAAGAGGAACCCCTGGGTGTGAGAGCTGGGCGCGCTGGCGGCGACGGAGGCCCGGCTGCAGTACCCCCTGCCTGGGACACGAGGCCGGCTGCGCCGCTCGGCTCTCCGCAGTCGCCTCCGGCCACCCCACGCCGGGCCCCGCACGGCGAGCAAGGTAAGCCAGCAAGGTGGGCACCGCCTGGGCGCGCGTGGCCTCGTTTCGCTGCCCGCACGGCAGGCGGGCGACTGGTTACGGGCGGCTGCTTTGGAATAGGGTGCAATGTTATTTTATTATAGCAATAATTCATTCCTTTCGTTCATTTCTGCATCCTCCAAGAGCCGGAGCCCTCCGGGAGCATCACAAAAAATACCACCGTGCAAGATAATAAAAAAACTCATCTAAACTCTTCCACATATAAAATTTAAAACAGTTTAAACTTTTTCCGGTAAGGGACTGGGTGTTATAAAGAAAAGTTGGACGCTGTCATGGGGGAAAGAAATGTTATAAGTACATGAAAAAATAAAGGAAATGAGAGTTGCGAAACGTAGCTGGACATTTTAGAACTCTTTTAGAACATTTTAGCTCTCTCCCCATAGATCGGACTTGAGTACGAGGAAAGCAAATGCAAGTACAAGTTAAAAGACAGGTTTCTTGATAAAAACCCACCACCCCCATCACCTAGCCTTTAGATCCAAGGGCTGGTTGTTGTTGTTGTTGTTGTTTTAACAAACCTCTGTTCATCTTACCTACATCCCATGAAGAGAGGGGGGTGTAATTGCCCCACCACCACCACCACCACCGCACAACACTTGCTGTGAGGGAAACACCCAGTTATCTTCTCCTAGACTAGGCATTCACTGGACAACCCACCCCAAACCCAACATTGTACTGTATTCTTGCTGCTCTCTCTCTCTCCCCCTCTCCCTCTTGCTTGTGTTACTAAAATATGGGCATCAAGTGACTGGAAATCAGTTGCAAGTGGTTTTAGTTGGGTCCCAAAAGCATGATAGCAGAAAGGCTGGGTATAAGACTTTTTCAATTAAAGTGTTCAACTTTTCTTGCCCCTCCTTCCTCCCTGCCCCACAGGTGAACTTGAATTCCAGATAGTTTGGGTCTCAGCATCCCTCATTTTTATAAAGTAAACTCTGCTTAAGGATTTGACCAGAACAAGGGGTGGGGACCTGCAGCCTTCCAGATGTTGTTGGGCACCAGCTCCCATCAGCCCCTGCCTGCACAGTCACTGGTTGGCGGGGATGGCAGCTGCAGTTGGTTGCACCCTATGAGAACTCTTGAAGAACTGGTGCCTGAGTTTTTGCTTATTTTCTCTTCTCTCCCAATCCCATTTCCTTTTGTGTCTTTAGAAATAGGTCTGAGATAGGGACTATCTGATTATCAGTCCTGGTAAGCCATGCTGTGAATTTGCTTTGGCTAAGCAGCAGCTAAACAGGCCTAACTGCACCTGTGGGGCAGAGGTTTCACTGAACTAGGAAGTTGTGGTGGTGTATATGTATGGGAGGAGGACCAGTGCAAAGGAAGCTGAATTGCTTCATAGCAATCTTTCTCCCTGGGTTTATCTTGAAAATATTTTTAAAACTGACTCTATTTCACCAGCATTTTGCCACTACTGCAAACTTCCTGCCACAGAAATCTAGTGTGGGCTGGAACAACAGCTTTCTTGAAACGCACAGAGAAAACCACAAGTGCTGACAACTCCTGCATCTACTGAAATTGGAAAAGGAGTATAAAAGGAATTACCAATATTTTCTTATCATAAAGGGCACAACAATAGATGGCCCCTTTCCCCAAAATAGTATAGATGTCCTTGCCCTATTTCACAACATCTTCATGTTCCGTGTGCTCTGACATGTCTATGTGGTTTTGCCAGTTCCTCAAACTAGTTCCTGCTGTAGAAATTTGCAAAATGAATATAGGCAAAGTGTGTGTTTTTCTATAGGCCTTGAAAACCTGTGAGCTACAGAGCTGAATTTAGAATACTGTCCCTGCATTAGAGTTTGTATGGCAGGAGCCTGGGAGTGTCCCTTTTTTATACTGAAAGGCAAGCAGCAAAATCTGTCCGTGTCTGAAAGAGCAAGTGAGTGAAGAGCTGACTTGACTTATAGTCAGTTTTACTTCAGTATGTGATGGGCTGTTAAAGGGAGTTTCTAGTTGGAAGATTCACCCTCACCTCAACCATGCTCTCAGCACTGCATATATTTAAGATGCTTGCTCATTTCTGAGACATTGTTCTACTGAACCATACATTTGTAAAATTGTGTGCCTGGCGTATTAACATCTTGGTATTTTTTTTTCTTTAAAATCTGTATTTCCGAAGCACAGCAGTTTCACATACAGCTTAATTTAGGCACAGCTTGTCTTGGATTTAGAATGAAAAGCTGTGACACTTGTAGCCTCACTTAGAGCTCTGCTGTATATTTCCAGATTAGTCAGTGGTGAATATTATCCTGGAGCAAAAAAGGAAGAAGTTCCATTTCTGTATGCCCGAATAATCACTTCACTTCTAGGGGCTTTCAGAGGCGAGCAACTGTCAGGCATTGAGGCCCCTATGCGTTATCTAAGTGGGGGTACATTTCATCATCTTTAGCTGGGTTTTTTCCCATGCATGCTCTTTGGACATGCCATCACAAGGAAGACCTGTCATGTGAACTGCCTTATATTATGGAATATAATGCACTTATGGAATGCGCTCCCCAGAGAGGTCCGCCTGGCACCGTCGTTATATGTTTTTCGTCGCCAGGCCAAGACCTTTTTATTTAAACAATATTTTAATAATTATTAATATTATTTATTGGTTTTAAAATCTTTTAGCCAGGATGAATCCAGATTTTATATGTTCTTGTCTGAATAAATGTTTTTTTATGATGTTGGAAGCCGTCCCGAGGCTTACGTGAATGGGACGGCATACAAAAATTCCAAATAAATAAATAAATAAATAGATATTCTAAGCCACCTAGGAAGACCTCGGCAGTTATAGGTAGCCTATAAATGCGTGTATAAATAAATAAATAAATAAATAATATTGACTCATACCATTGTTCCAACTAGCCACAGCTTTCCAGGTTCTCAGATTTTCCCCCTCGTCATCTGCTGCCAAATTCTATTTAACTGGAGGTACTAGGGATTGAAGCTGGAACCAACGCCACAAAAAATACTGCATACTCTAGCATGGTTTTCATGATTGTGGCAGCTCTAAAAAGTGCTGGGATGGTGAAAATCACTGTGAGGTTATCCAAATTCTTCCAGTTTGTGTAGCATGATGCAACTTTCAGCACATGGGTAGCCAAGCATGAGTCTGTAAAGAAGTCTGTAAAAATTACTGTGAGAATCAGGCCTGATGTTGGCAGCTTTATATGATCTGAAACTACATGCATAACAGTACAGTTGGCTCTGTTTATGGTAAATCAGCCTCCAAGTGATAATTCTTGGGTGCCACTAATTTCACCCAGGCCTACAGATTGCTGTGTCGAGAATGTACTCTGTTCATGCCCCAGTGCCTCAGGACTGTATTTTAACAGGGGCTCATCACCCCATTCTGGATTGTCTCTCCTCCCTCTGCCCTTCTGCCAATTTTAGGGAGAAAATGGCTGCATTTCAAGATAGATACTCATTTCTCAGTGGAGGCAAACCAGTTTGCGTGGTTGAGGGAGGAGACTGTGTGCTCAGAGAACTGATGAGAATTAACCGTTGATCCAGAAAGCCACACGAGGGGTGTGGGAGGAACTTGTCTACCAATCAGAGAGAGAAAGACTTCACTTTGTAATGGTTAAACAACTGCTATGTGAACTTTTACTTCAAAGAACAGATAAACACCTTGGCACAAGAATCTGGTATCTTTTTTGTTTGCAAGCTAAGAGCAAACCCTGGAAGTAGCAAATGAAAGGAAGTTTCTTTGTATCCTGAAAGAGCAACTCCTAATCTGCATCCACCTTGCCTTAATACACAGACAAAGAGGTAAACGAAAGTTTCAAGTAGGTTAGACATAAGTAGCATCTCTTTAAATAGTTATAACATCTGAGGATAACCAATGCATAGGCTGCAAGTTTCTTCTATACAATTTAAATAGCAAAAGATTTGCTGCAATGGCCTGTGAAGACCTCGGTGTTAGAATGAGGGTGGTGGACACACAGCTCTGCTTTCAGCCTGCAGCATTTCTGAACTGTATAAAAAGGGGATGTGGGTCCTACAAGAAGGGTCCTTTTTTACTTGTACTGCTCTGTTGATCACCCTGTTAATTCAGCAGTGTGTCACTGATTACATTAAAGTGCTCTTTCCTGCAATCCTTCTACTTCTCAGTTCAACAGGTGATCAAGGACAGAAATGTTAAACAGTGTTTGTGGCTATCACATCATTGACATGTCTGACTATAGAAATAGTTTGCAATTCCAGTTCTGCCCTGCTCTGAATTAGATTACATTCCATATTGTTGTTAGAATGTACCAGTATGGCAAAATTTCAGTGCAAATACCCCATATTTCAGCATTTACGTATTTGCCACAAAATATTATAATGTTGTGTGAGTGACATGTCAAGGTAATGCATAATTTGATTATTCTGGCTGTTCCTATTAAGAGAGAAGTACAGCCACAGAATAAGGAAATAAACAGTTCACACATAACGTATCTACAAATAACTATGTATTTATGGCAGCAATGGAGGAACTAGAAAAGATCAAATGTAAGAACATTTCAGTTGAGACCAAAGCCACTATATTATTATATTCCTGATCACCATGTATGAATGTCGAAGCTGGACAGTGAAGAAAGCTGACAGGAAGAAAATTGATACTTTTGAAACATGGTGCTGGAGAAGAGCTTTGCAAATACCCTGGACTAACCGAAAGACGAATAAGTGCGAACTAGATCAAATCAAGCCAGAGCTCTTCCTAGAAGCAAACGACAAAACTGAGGCTGTCTTACTTCAGGCACATCATGAGAAGGCAAAACTCCCTGGAGAAGACCATCATGCTAGGCAAAGTCATAGGCAGAAGAGGAGAAGGAAGACCTAATATGAGACGGCTTGACTCCATAAACAGAGTCACAACCTTGAATTTGCAAGAGTTGAGTAGGACTGTCATAAATAGGACATTCTGGAGGGCTTTCACCCATAGGGCTGCCATAAGTTGGCATATAACAACAGCAATAACAGTAACTCCTCAGCACAGGTGACATGTACAAATAAAGAAGAGTTGGGGCAAGGGATTCTGTATTCAACACGAGTTTCTCTATATATATTTATGTGAATTTGTTAAGTGTCTGTTAAGGAGCATTATCTAGGTAACACGAATGTGTGTGTACCTATGAGAACTTTGCCAGATTTTTGTTCGTGGTCTTGCAGGGTCTCTTGGGAAGGAAAAAGAAAGCTCATTCTTCTTAGGCCACAGAAACAGCCATTTGTGGAAGGGATTTGCTGCTGATTGAATTGGGTCAAGGATGTGTTTTGCTAGCTTAATGGGTTTCTTTAACCTGCAAGGGGAGACGAAACTGGGCAAACTGGATGTGTACCTGAATGGAGAAGGTGCACCATAAATGCAGTGAGTGCATAGTGCTTGCATTCAGCGGAAGAATCATGAAGAGATACATTCAGGTGCACATCCCAGTGTGGAAGGGGATGCATGCTTACATTTCAATTTCAGCTGAAAGCAAATCTGTTCAGAAAGACCCTGTCTGCACTGAGATTGGACTTTGCATGGGTTTCCCCTCGCAGCACTTTAAACTGAGATGTGCCTTCCCTGTCTACCTTATAGGGCAGAGCTGGGTAAAGATTACTGCTTGAGACAGCATACTTCCTGAGGCAAAATTCCCCTCCACCCATTACTTTTGGGGCCTTTTACATTCTAAGGTAGATTTTCCTTTGGGGGAGCTCTTAGTTTCCTTCTTTTAGAGCTGGAATTGGGCTCAGAGGAATTCTACTTGAGGGCATTAAGCTTGCTTTCCTTTAAGCCCACTCCAGTTTTTGTCTTGTATGGGCTTGCGCTTACATAATGCTCTTTTACCAGCAACACTCAGAGAAAGCTGTGCTTGCATATTCCTGACTTTGATTGTGTTGATGATGTTCTGTTCAAATGCTGGGATTGCTCAGCACACTCCAGAAGTTCATTTTGCCTCCAAGGATTCAGCCCAGGTCTGACTCTTTTTCCATTTTGGCATCCAGTGCATCTCCATTAGAGATCCTTGAAGAATGTGCTTCTTGTGGCAGCTAGCTGGCCGTGGTGTGAACACAATGCCTCAGTCTGATCCATCACACTCTTTTTATGTTCTTGAGATATGACATTATTTGATCCCAAACTAATGTGCATATAAGAACACACTTTTCTTGTACAGTTTGCATTTCTATGAATTTTGGTGGCAGTCCTTGCCTCACAAAAGGCCACAGTTCATATCAAGACATTTGTTTAGAGAAAAAATGTATTTACTTACTGAGAAAAAATGTATTTAGAAATACTTGTGAGAAAGTATTCCACAATATGGGTTTAGATAATAATTTTGCATTTGAATTGTAGATTAATGTAGGAATGGGACAGACTGCATTCATGAATTAAAACATTAAGTCACATGTGCCAAGAATAAGACTTGCCTGTGATCCCTAATTACTGAACAGGGCAGTGAGAGAATGCGTGCTCTGGCACCATGCAAGTGTAGTCAAGAGTGCATCCAGCAGCTAAGGAGAGGTGGGAGACAGAGCTGCCAATCAAATTGGTCCACCGATCCATTTGGTATTTTACTATCTGCCTGGTACCCATAGGAGCAAAGGCAGCTACTTCTCCCAGTAATTTTCACATTGCTCCATAACAGCTGCAACCAAGAGAGGCACAATTATCTTACGCCTAATTCATAGCAGTAAAGCTAGGCTTCTGACTTACATGGTTACATTCCAAACACATTCAGGTAACTCACAGAATAGAAATGCTACAAAATAAACAGAATTTTCAGCTTTTCTTCACACAGCTTTTAGCTGAAAGGCATAACTTTGGATGTACCATGTATGATGTGCTTCAGGGAATGGGGGCTAGGAGAGTGCAAGCGCCCCTGTCTGTCAGCTCAAAGAAAATCATAAAAACATGTAAGCAGTCTCTGCTAAAGGCTAACAAAATAAATTGGTTGGATCTCTTTGCAATTTGCGTTCACAGATAAGAGTGGTCCTCTGTGCAGCAATTTATTCTTTCCACAGACTGATCAAATACTCATTAATCAAGGGACAGAGGAGACTAACCATAATTTTCTGCTGATGGAGCGAATGAAGTCTATTACTGACTTGTACACTTAAAATCCACTTGCTATATTTGCAAAATATTTGCATACTTTGCAAAATTGCAAAAATTCCTTAAAGGATGATTTGGGTGAGGGTTTCCCTTTCTGAAATAAATATATAAATGCATCTTTCTGAAAATGGATACATTTTCTGTTCATTTTCTGTAGTTTTAGCACACAGGTTTGCACATAATGATAAGCTAAGAGAGTCCCTGTTTTGCTTAGTCACTCCCACTGGCAGGGAGAGCCAATCAGGAACAGTCCTCACGTTTTCTCTTTTCCCATAAGCCAGAGTTCTAAGGTATTCTGCCTTATTGTTAAAAGAAAACTGATAATGTGATAAAACTCTTTTAGAGACATTAACAATAAATTCATTGTTTTTCTTTCCCTATATCCTTGGACTCAGAATTCGTACATTTCTCCTCTCTTCCTCAGTCACTAGTAATGCATCCTAAACTGGCAGCTACACAGTTCTTTTATTACAATGTGCAAAATTGTCCATTTAGATTTTTTCATGTATTTCATGAAATTAAGATTTCCTCCTAAGTTTCTTAGGTTTTTCTTTAAGTTGCCAGAAGTTTAAGCAGTTGAAGAGTTTGCATAAGTAGACAATCCCACCTCTCTTAGTGCTGCTAAATGAAAGAAAACTATTTATTTATTTATTTATTTATTTAAGATATTTGTATGCCGTCCTTTGCAAGAGCCTCAGGGCGGCTTACACAAATAAAATACAAATATCTAACATAATATTAATTAATTAATGACTCACTCTGGCTGCAGTTAAAATATGATGATAAAATTCAATATTAAAACTTATTAAAATATTGATTAAATAAAATGGTCTTAACCTGGCGCCAAAAAACATATAATGACGGCACCAGGCGGACCTCTCTGGGGAGTGCATTCCATAGGCGGGGCGCCACCGCAGAGAAGGCCCTCCTCCGGGTACTCTGTCTCCTAATATCTTTCACAGAGGGTTCCCGGAGGAGGGCCTTCTGCTGCCGATCTCGGGGCAGGAGGGCAAATAGGGAAGAAGGCGTCCCTTTAGGTATCCTGGTCCCAAGCCTTTAAGAGCTTTAGAGGTAATAACCAGCACCTTGAATTGAGCCCAGACTTCAATGGGAAGCCAATGGAGCTGACAGAGGAGCTGATTATAAAATGGAGCCACTTATAAAAATGAATCCTTGATTACAATATCCCTATCGCTCATTGTACCTGTAGTATTAACTCTCTTCTGCAGGCTAGCCTCTAGAGGTGTAATAGGGCCATTTTATATGTGTTCTCCAACAAGGAGAAGAAACCATGTACACATTCATTGTATGGGGTGCACTTTGAGTGTTTGATCTCCTTCAAATGAATGAAATAATGATCCACTGAAGATCAGTACAGTCAGGAACAAGGTTTGACATGATCGTGAAGTAGGTTTTGACCTCCCTTTCACCCCCATTTCAGTGGGGCTGAAAGGGAGAAGACAAGAGAACCAGTGTGGTGTACTGGTTAAGAGCATGGGGCTGGGACTCAGAGGATCTGGGTTCGAGTCCCCACTCAGCCATGGAGCCACTGGGTGATTTTGGGCCAGTCACAGACTCTCAGCCCAACCCACCTCACAGGGTTGTTGTTGTGGGGATAAGATGGAGGAGGAGAGATGATGTAAGCTGCCTTGAGCCCTTTGTAGGAAAAAGGCAGGATATAAATTGCAAAAAAAAAAAAAAAGAGAGAGAGAGAGAGAGAGAGAGAGAAGAGCAGACACTGCATTGTGCCTAGGTAAGGACCAAGCATCAAGCTTGGGTGTGGTTAGGCACCTGCAGGGCAGTGGCCCACTGGCAAGCGCACTCTGTACCTGCTTCTCCATTCACTGTTGCCACCTGCTTGCCTTTCACTTCAGCCCAGACAATGGCGGTGGTGAGGAGGAGGAGGAGTAGATGCTATGGCCTGCGACTCCTCTGGGGCTTCTCCTAGCAGACAAGCAAGTGGGGCCACTGTGGGAGAGAGCCCACGGACAGCACCTTGCACAAGGGCCTCCAGATCCTGGAGCCACCACTGGGATTGGGCACTTGAAGTAGTCATCCAGCACATAATGGATTAGTGGCACTGGGTAGATTTACAGCCCATGCCTGTAATAAGTGGCAAATGTATTTCCACATCCCAAGAGCCCATGTTGGGGTCCAAAGGTGCTTTTCCAGCTCTTCAGGATGCTTCAGTCCACACTGGTTCTTGCTGGAACAGGACTAGATGCATGGCCCACGCCCCACCCTCAAAACATAGGTCTTCCTTTTCCCACAGTCCCTGCTGTGCAGCAGGGCCAGATTCCTGTCCTGTAGACACGCATTTGCCTTCACGTCTTCCATCAAGTTGTTCAATATGAGAATTGTGAACAGCGTAGTTTTCCTTTGTAGATTTGTCTACATGTCTTTGATGGAACAGGGACATGCTTCGCAATGTTAGTCTTGTAAAACAATAGCAAATTCAACTTCAGGACGCTTTCATATCACATTTAAAAAATCAAGGACAACCAGGCAACATGTCATATTAACAAATTTCTCTATTACAGATACACATCTGAGCTTATGTAGCTATTTAACATAAATAATAATGCCTAAATATCTATAAATCCAACCTGCCCGAGGGGCATGTTTTTATTTGATTTCACGCTAATCAGTTTTGGAGTGTCAGAAATTGCAGTGGCTCCTGGTACATCTGTTGGGTGATGAGATTTTAAATTGTTATTTATTTGATAAGAATCAATGCGGTGAATGCTGAAAAGAAAAAGAAACAAGGCTCTCTCCTATATCACTTACTAAATCATAAATTAGTGTGCTGGAAGTTGACACTTGAGTGCCAGACATTATATCTTCAGCGTATCTTTATTATTAATAATCTTGCATAGGAAAGGGAATATGTAACATTCATAATAATATTCACATGTATATTAACACATTCAGTACTTAAGTGATCCGATTGTTATCTGCTCTGAGATATTTTTAAATTGTGGACAGCAGTATAGACATCTATTCAAGAAATTAAAAAAAATAACTTTGGCTGGATTAACAATTAGGCTATATTTTGATTACCTAAATGCACCCCTTCTTTATTACTGTATGCTAAGGTTAGAACATGGTGACTTTTTCCCTGTCACGTGTGTCTGCGGCAAGTGCCACATTCCCATTTCTGGAAGAAATCTAAAATAATTTTGATCTGTACAACAAAATGTCTGCTCTTGCTTCTTTGGGATAGTGGAGGAGAGTTAATATGATTCAGAACCTCCAAGACACTGCATTGACTCGGTGAACTCTTTTGTTATCTTAATGTTGTTATAACATTGAGAAGATCAGTGCAAATCATACAAGCTGACATGCACCCATATTCCAGCTTCCTCTGAGATAAACAACCCACGGATGCTCTGTCCTTGGGTTGTTTATCAGGATGTCCAAACCCAGAACTGTGGGTTGTTGGGAACAAACAACTCAGAATTTGAAAGCATGGCTCAATTGTGGCTTGTTACAATGTGCAAACCAGATGGGGTGGTAAGAACACAAAACCAGTGGAAGGAGACTGTCTGTCCTATTGTGTGGATCAAGAATCTGAACCCATCCCTGTTGCAGACAAGCAGAAGTTTCTTGCCTGCCAGCATTTGCTGAACATGTCTGTCTGTCTGACTGTATTTATTTAAAACTTTTCTATACCATCCCTTCACAGCTGTCTCAGGATGGTTTACAACAGATTAATAGAATAAAAATAGAAATATGAGTAGCAGTTGCACAACACCCGATGTAAATATAAAACCACCAATTAGAACAGGTTAAGAATTAAAATATTGGGAGAATAAAAAGGTTTTCACCTGATGCTGAAAGGAAAAAAGCATTGGCGACAGGCGAACCTTTCTGGGGAGCATGTTCCACAACTGGGGTGCCACTGCAAAGAAGGCCCTCCTCTGGGTAGTCACCCTCCTGATCTCTTTCAAGGACGGGTCCCAGAAGAGGGCCTCTCACGTAGATCTCAAGGGGCGGGAGGGCACATAGGGTTTTGCCATGCAAGGAGTTTTCTTGGGGAAGAAAGAGGAGAAAGTGCTGATGGAAGAACTGCAGAGGCTCTTTGAGACAATGCAGCATTTTCTGGTATTTGGGGCATTCCGATATGGTTCTTCCAACTTGGCCCCAGTGGGCAACTGGAGGATGCTTTTTGAGCTGCAGTGGTGCAAAACTTTGTTTAGTTAAAGCAGCCTCTTCAAATAAAGCTGCCTAACTGATAACCTCATATTTATCTCATAAATATTAACCAGCTTGAATTGCATATTATTCAGCTATGCCTCGGGGGCCTTACTGAGTGTTTTTCTCCCTGGCAATTACCATATCTGCACAGATGAGTGGTCTGCTGACAGTAACCCACTGCTCCAGCATTGTGCATTTATGGAAATCCGAGACTTGAGGGATGTGAGGAGTTTTGCATGCTTTCTCAGTGTAGGGACATCATAAATAAGCTCCTGGCTAAGGCTATTGCTTTCCAGGCAAGTATGGGCAATTCTTCTGTCTGTTAAACGAGAGGAACTCTAATTTTTCTTTATGATTGCCAATGTGTTAAAAGGCTTTTGACCAGGAAAAATTAATTGGAATCCTCAGTGGCTCTATTTATCAAGCAGGAGGAGATTTTTCTTGCTGCCTGGAAAAATCTGACAGCCCAGTTCCAGTCCATTCATTTGGAAACTCCTTTGATTTTAAAAGGGCCTACCTCCAAGAAGGTGTGGCTTAGGTTTCTAGCCTGCATTTCTTGTTTATTTATTTATTTAGAAAAAAAAATAATTGTTTTTTTGTTCTGGGTGTTAAAAGTTATTTTAACTGTTAATTTATTATTGTATTTATAGATTTTAATATATATAGCTGAAATGGTACCAGTTTTTAAATTATTAATTGTATTTTTTATGAATGTTGTGAGCCGCCCCGAGGCTTTGTTGTGATGGGGGCAGCATAGAAATGTTTTAAATAAATAAATAAATAAATAAAATTGTATCCATGGTTTTGGTTTTCAGTACTGACAGCCTATAGGTCTGCAGGTACTGGAAGAACCAACCACCACCTCAATTTGACAACTAAGATTAGGAGGATCATCAGCTCTCATTATCTGACCAGTAAACTGAACAGGCCTAACATGGTCTGAGATGTCAGAAAGCTAAGCTTGCATCTGTCATTTGGTTATGCAGCAGCAAAACTAGTGAACTGAACCAATTAATCCTTTCTTTTTAGTGTTGACAAAATGACCTTCTAGAACACTACTGGCACAACCCACCTACTCTATCAAAGTTCATGAGATTTTGTACAATAGCACAACTACGCAGAAGAACTTGCAATATATTGATACGGGGGACCAGTTTAAAGGTCAAATGTTGCTCATGTTCAAGATAAAAACAACCTACAAATTACCTTTTTCACCCACCTTCATAGTGGCTTGCTGATAAATTCAAAGGCAAATCTCACACACACACACACACACACACCCCTACTTGGCAACACAGCAACAGTGATACAGCCCCATTGGGGCAGCGGGTTAAAAGTGGCCCCTGGATCCCCTGACATTACCCACTCCTGGCCCAGATGGAAGACTGCATGAGAACACACATGCTCCCTTAATGTACTAAAAAAATGGCAATGTCGTGGAAATCAAGATAATGAGAAATAATGAATAGATCATTGCTACGTTTGTCCAGCTAGTTGGAATTTTCAGCATTCTGCCTTCTTACCACCATTTGTGTTTAAGAAAGTCCTGATAACATGATAAAGTCTTTTCTGTCATGACAGACTAATGGAAGAATCACTGATGGTTAAGCAGCTTGACTCCTCTGTGGAAATAATGTGTAGAGGTCTTCTGCACATTGTTTATTCATGTGGCAGTTGTTCTTCTGTGAATCAGACTTTTCCAAAGACCAGTGATGTCATGCAAGGTTAAAGGGAAAGTTATGAATTTGCTTTAGTGATTGATTTGCTGAAATCTGATTAAGAGGCTGAGAAAATTAATTTGGAGGAGCAAAGGAGCTGCAGAATCAAGAGGTGATTGCTAACCCACATGGAGGATGGCCTCTTGAGACACAGTAACTCTTAAGAATCAGGTTCCTCAAATTCTTTTTACAGTTTATTTCCATTTAGGTGGAAAGATACATATGTTTTTCAAAGAAATATAAAATCTAGAAAGCATAACTTTTATAGTATAGAAAAGTTTTTTGTGTTCTTTGTATGTATTGTCGTGTAATAGCCTCTTCTGTGTCTGATATTGTTTTTCAGATGGAGGAAGCATGTGAAGATATAGATCAGATGTTCAGTGACTTACTGGGGGAAATGGATTTGCTGACACAGGTAAAGCATTTTCTTATTTATTTATTTATTTATTTATTTATTTATTTATTTATTTATTTATTAAAACATTTTTATGCCGCCCCATTCGCCGAAGCCTCGGGGCGGCTTACAACATAGATAAAACAAGTTAAAATCCATATAAAATAATCTCAATTAAAACACACATTATAAAATAAGCCGCCCTGGCCAGATAAAATTCAATTGTATTTAGCATTTAAAATGTTGCTTAAATAAAAAGGTCTTAGCCTGGCGCCGAAAAACAAATAACGACGGCGCCAGGCGGACCTCTCTGGGGAGCGCATTCCATAACTTAGGCGCCACCGCTGAGAAAGCCCTTCTCCGAGTAGCCACCCTCCTAATTTCTCTCACGGAGGGCTCCCGGAGAAGGGCCTCTCCCGCCGATCTCAGGGGGCGACTGGGCAAATATGGATGTAAGCGCTTGACTGATTTGGGGTACAATCCTATGCATGTTTAGGTCCAAAAAAGTCCAGAAACTACCAGCATTCCCCAGCCAGCCTTAGAGGATTGCACACTGCTGCAAGAGCAGATAAAGGCATCCTGCTTTGTTTCTCCGCATTGTTCCTTCATTTTAGATAAACTGCAGCAATTTATTTCACCATACTTTGATTCTTCATACGATGCTTCCACATTGCTGCGGGTCCTTGTGGATGATGCAGGGCTTGGTTATGTGCACGAAGTTACCCTGTTATGCACCCAGAGCATCCAGCTGCTTATACACCAAACTCAGTGAGTCCTCAGAAGGCAGAGATGCGCCATGCACACGGGATTCTGGGTGCTGGTTGCATGTGCCGCAGTCACTACTTTGTTGTGTGAAGCTTGTGGAGGGCAACAGGAGCATCCAATCTTGACATTACTTCCATGCACATCCAAGTCAGGATTATTCTCATCTTCACAATGCTATCTTTTTAATGCTGATTTTTTTCCTCCCTCTGAGGATCAAAAGTAATCTATCCCTGATTCTATCAATTTCCTCATTCACCTTGTGGTAGCTTTCAAGAGGAAGCCATGATTTTCAACAACTATTATTTCTGTTTTAACTCTGAATAAATGTATGATAATCTAGTATTTTGGAGAGGAGAAGTTAACTGAGAAACAATGAGAAGGATCAGAAATTTCCATGAATTTTCTTGGGAAAAAATGTACCTTTTGTCAGCTAGTTCTGCTTAAGCCATGTTTTATCTTTGTGAGGATTGTGGGCAGACTTTTTGAAAGGCTGCTATTTTATATTTATTTCTCTATAAATTCCCATTGAACTCCTTGGAACTTGCCACAGAGTAGGTTTCTCCAAGGGACAAATTGGATATGGTGGTTGTGGGGGAAGGGGTGATCAGAAGCTGTCATTTACAGTGGGAGGAAGGCTGATTCCTCTTCCCCATGGCTGCTATTGAACAGTAAAACCAAAACTATTGTGTGAAATGTATGATTAGCCCTTAAGACACCTGAAGATTAATAATGCTAACCAAACACTTTGAAGTGTATTATTACCCCATTGATTGATATTGCACTACTACGATGCAGATGATAGATTCTCTCTCTCTCTCTCTCTCTCTCTCTCTCTCTCTCTCTCTCTCTCTCTCACTTGCTTGCTTTGAAACTTGTTATTGATGAAAATGTTGATTTTTCCTCATCATGATGATGCAAGGGAGGAAGAGGCATGGGCTGGATTCTGTCCAAGGGCCTTCTTCCCTAGTGAATCAGCATTTGTGGGACTGCTTCCTAGTTGCAGTAAATATTTTTCTTCTCCTTTCATAATACTGGAAGCTGTGTCACCACCCAAGAAGCGGCATGGTGTGAGATTTAGGAGAGACAAAAGGAAGTGCTTCACATACCACATAAACTGTAAAAGCTATTATCACAAGATCTAGTGATGGCCACCAACTTGGATGGCTTTAAAGGGGGATTAGATAAATTCAAGGGGTTGTATCCAATGTTACTCCTACTTAGAACAGACCAGTTGAAATGAACACGATTTGCGCTAGACTAGCATGGGAAATGACCATAGAGGATGAGGCTTTTAATGGCTATTAGGTTGGAGGTTACTTCCAGTATCAGATGGTTTGTCTCTTCTCTGCGTATCAGTTACTGGTGAACATAATCAAAAGGGAGCTATTGTGCTCATTCCCTGCTTGTGCGCTTCCCACCATGAACGGAATGATGGGCATAATAGGCCTCTTGTCTGATTTAGCAAAGTTCTTTCAGTGTTCTCGCAAACTCATTTTTCCATGGAGTGTTTCTGCAGGAAGCACTGTAAACCCTGGAGAAGAATGGCATGAAACACTCTCACTTGGAGGCCATCACTTCTTAACTTCATTTTTAATATTGCATGTTATTTTGTACCACTGCTGTGCTTCTATGCTGATTCAGTTGCAGTTGCTGTGTGTGCTTATGTTTGTATTTTATTTGAAAAAAAAATTGTTAACTTCCGGGACAGCCTTGGCTATTGGGAGGTGTAAAAATAAACAAACAGTTGGCTGAGTTTTGCAAATGTGCTCTACATGCTTTCATACATGTTTACCTCCTCTCTGTGGTGTTCATCCTAGACACAGGGGATTGAAGCCAGATTTAGTCATAGTTAGAGTAGACCCATATCAGTGAATGGGACCTGATTAAAGCATACGTTACTTAAGTTCCATTGAGTCAGCCTGACTAAATCTGGATCCAGCCCATGCTAAATAAATAATCCAAATGTCATTTTTGCTATAGCATGTGAGGCATTCTATAAAACCTGCTTGATGAGGTTATTATTATTGAAAAAAAGATTGTAGGCCTGCAATCTCCCGATCATAAAACAGTAGATTTCTACAGAGAGGCAGCAACCCAGTAGTCACAGTAGCATACATATATTTCTGATTTTAAGAGAGCTTAAAGTCCTCATTTTAAACAGTCATTACCTGTGAAAAGTGACATTGATATTTCTCCTTCTCCATTAGAGCTTGGGAGTGGAAACTCTCCCACCTCCACCAACAAAAGCATCTAGTGATGAATTCAATTTTGCAGTTGGTTTTAAAGATTTAAATGGTAAGTACAAATATTTTGCTCTTCTGGGAAGCAAGGAGCACCTTTAAGGGAAGTGATATGATATGAGAGGCATAAAGTTTGATAAAAGATAAATGGGCCTTTATCAGTCTCAAAATGTTTTTATATGTAACAAATGTGTGAAATGAACAGGCCCTATTGTTGAAAGGGGTAATGTATAGGGCCTTACATTTTTTAAAGCTCTATTAGTTCTGAAACCTGTCAATTGGTTATGAATATTGTAATAATTTCCTACAATACTTCATTTTTCTATGTAAATTGAAATCTGATACAGTAGCCTGACATTTAATTCTCATGAAAAAAGTATATGCAAAATTCTCTAGAACAATATTCCCCAAACTACTAAAATAATGAAGTGCTATAAAACTAGGTTGGATCCAATATACCCTCCACAAGAGGAAGAGACCTCCTTTGAGAAGCCACAGGCAAGGGCATCCCACTTCTGTCAGCACAGTTGATCCAGTGTAAAGTCAGGATTGACACCAATAATACTGCTTTTATTACACCTTGGCTTAGAGCCCTTAGATTTACTCAGAGCTAGAAGGAGCGCTGATACAGCTTGTGGAAGAGCTTCCAATCATACTAGCATGACTGATGGTCCTAAAAAACATTGGGAAAGTCTTCTGATGTATTTCGCCTTGTTTCCTTAACAGAATCTTTAAATGCATTGGAGGATACGGATTTAGATGCTTTAATGGCTGATCTTGTGGCAGATATAAGTGAAGTAGAAAGGTCTACCTTGCAAGAACCGAAGGATGCCTCTCGCTACCAGCAAGTTGGCACAATGCAGCCTTCTGCAGATGCTGGTGCCAGTTATGGATGTCGGACTGATCTCTCAAACATTGCTAATGCCCATGTTGACAGTGGTTTACCACCTCCCTCTGTAGAACTGGACTTTGATCTTCCACCCCCACCACCCTCAACACCTCCAGCCCCTCCTTCTGAACTACTAACTAAGGTGAGCAGACAATAGAATCTCCATTCAAAACTCTCCCAAGGCTCTTGTTTTAAAATGCTTCCGCAGATATTTGCGTCACAACAAAAGAAATAATTGGGAATGGCCAAATGTCAGGGCAAAACTATTTATGAAATTGCAAGAGGAACTCAGTATTTCTTGCTGAGGTTTGTACCTTTAAAAAGGCCTTATAATCTAATTCCTTTTTCTTTCAGGAGGAGCAAGAAACACAAGCAAAAGCTGACAAGATTAAACTTGCATTAGAAAAACTGAAGGAAGCCAAAGTTAAAAAGGTATATTTGATATTAATATGTAGAGGTACATGAACAGAAAAAGCAGTATATAAATGTTAATAAATCAATAAGACTTGGGTCAAGGATTCTGAATTTTGATACTCTTAGATGTAGATTCACCTTTATATATTCTTCACTAGATTGGTATAATGAATAACCTTGTTAATATTAACTCTTTTAATAGTACGCCTGTTCTGACAACTTTTATTTTTTCCAGTACTTCTTTATTTGGTTATTGGTGAATTTGTGATAGCAAATATTGTTAATATTATAAAAAATTTGAACCTATTCAATTAAAAATATACATTAACAAAAATAAATGGTAAAGGAGGTAATGCTTTCAGGATGCATTTTCCCCAGTTCTAGTTCTCCATATGTGATGCATTTGAATTGGTAAAAGCTTCAGCCTTTATCAGTCCAAACAGATCCTTGGGCAGGGTAGCCTTTCAATACATGCTGAAATTAACTGACTCATCCATTATTCTCTCCCCAGCTTGTTATCAAGGTGCACATGAATGATAACAGCACCAAGTCTCTGATGGTGGATGAACGGCAAGTAGCACGTGATGTCTTGGACAATCTCTTTGAAAAAACCCACTGTGACTGCAATATAGACTGGTGCCTTTATGAAATGTGCCCAGAACTACAAATTGGTGAGTGTCAAAGCAGCCAATGACCTCTATGACTGTTATATTTGTGCAGGCTTACTAGAAAATGATGTGATGCCACTGCACTAAGTGACATTCTGCTATTGCCGTCCAACACTCACCTCATGTCTTATAGAGCCCTCTTCCTGCTGATGGCTATTCGCTTGCGCAGTTGCTTGCTCGCTCGCGCTCTCTCTCTCTCTCTCTCTCGCTCTGTGTGTGTGTGTGTGTGTTAAGAGTGTGTGTTCACAGGAATGCAATAGAGCCTTGGAAAAAACACCTGGGTCATTTTCTCATATGCAGACGTTCCAAAACAATAATCTGGGAAGCATCCCTGTTTTGAAGAATCACCATTTGGCCTAGAGCAGTGGTGGCGAACCTGTGGCACGTGTGCCACAGCGGGCACACAGAGCCCTCTCTGTCGGTTTGGGCACAGAGACACTCAGTTTGGGCACTCAGACTCTAAAAGGTTCACCATCACTGGGTTAGAGTGAGAAAAACAAGGTGTCCTGGCATGATTTTGATGGTTGGAATGTTTTTAGAATGGGCAGAAATGATGAGCTGTGCGGAAAAAGCTACCCAAGGAAGGCTTTTTCAAAATCTCTCTCTTTTCAATGGAACTTTACCCCTATATTAGGGTTAGGGGTGTGCACCAGGGTAGGCTTAGGGTTAGAAATACGAGGTGTCCTGGTATGATTTTGATGGTTGGAATGTTTGTAGAATGGCCAGAAAGGATGAGCTGTGCAGAAAAAGCTACTCCAGGAAGGCTTTTTCAAAATTGCCCTTTTCAATTGAACTTTCACCCTCTGTTAGGGTTAGGGGTATGCACCAGGGCAGGGTTCGGGTTAGAAAAACAAGGTTTCCTGGTAGGATTTTGATAGTTGGAATATGTTTAGAATGGGCAGAATGTTGAGCTGTGCAAAAACAGCTATTCAAGAAAGGCTTTTTCAAAATTGTCCCTTTCAATTGTATTTCACCCCCATATTAGGGCTGGAGAGTGCACCAGGGTAGGGTTAGGTCAGTGGTGGCAAACCTATGGCACGCGCGCCACAGCAGGCATGCAGAGACCTCTCCGTCAGCATGCAAGCCAAGTCACCACAGCATCGCCCCAGCAGCCGAGCATTGGATAACAGCACACATAAGGGCCGTGCGCATGCTTAGAAAGGAGTAGCGGTGCCAGGCAATGACATCACAAGCCACAACTCATTAGCTGCGACTCGCCTGAGCTTTTGCATGGCTGGTCAGTGCACTGCCAAGGATATATATATATTTGCTTGGACTGGCTGTGAGTTTTCAGGTTTTATTGTAGTGTTGGACTTTGCGATAAATAAGTGGGTTTTGGCTTGGAGTTTGGGCATTCGGTCTCTAAAAGGTTCGCCATCACTGCCCTAGACTAATGAGGCTGTATGAAAATTAAGGTACAGTGTCCCTTTAAACTATATTTGACCAGAAACTAAAGATTATATTTAAAGATAGAAATGAGGTGTAATTGGGTAGAGGGAGAGAGTGTGTGTTTGTGTAATCTAACCTTTTTGTTTAATATTCGATTTTTGGTCCTCCTAGAAAGATTTTTTGAAGATCATGAAAATGTGATTGGGGTCTTATCAGACTGGACACGAGACTCTGAAAATAAGCTTCTGTTTTTGGAGAAAAGTGAAAAATACGCTGTATTTAAAAACCCTCAGGTAAAGTAACATGATATAGGCAATCCTACTCAATCCTTCTGGATGTGCCAGATTACAACTTCTGTTATGCTGGTTGGGAACAATGGAAGGGCTCCATTTTGGGGTCAACTGATATAGACAAACTAGTGAACAATGATTTATTCATATAGAAATCACCAAATATTTCATTTCCCTTTTAGTTGAAATCTCAAAGATTAAAGTGTGGTGTACAAAACTCAGGCAGTGGCTGTGCCAGAGCTGGCATTCCAAAAGGGACTTGAGCTGAGCTTTCTTCCTGCCAGGAGGAGGCAAACCTGTGCCCAGATGTTTTGGATGACCACTTCTGTCAGCCTCAGCCAGCATGACCAGTGGTCAGGGATTGCGGGAGTTGTTCCCCCAAACATTTACAGGGCACCAAGTTGCCTATTCCGCTATGTATCGTGGCATCTAGGCTGACTACTAAACAAGTCATTCTCAGTATTAATTGCTGCAGATCAGAGACAAGGTAGCACCAAAGCACATTTTAGCTTCTAAGAGGGGAGAAGAAGATTTCTGAAATATCCCTCTCCTGTTCCACTAAGGGTCCTGCAGATACCAAGTCAATGGAATAAGACGCCCTGTCATCCAATGGGCAGTAGTGTGGGAGCCACTGGATTGTTTGTATGTTGGTTGCAGTTAGACCACGTTAAATAGAACCGCTTCAGTGAGCATCTGCAGTGGAAGATCATGACTATAAGCTGATCCCATATCCTCAAAATAGCTTTGTAACAAAATAAAATCCCTTAATAATTGACTATAGTGGAAACTGAGTTGAAGTTTTGGTAGAAGAGGGAGTGTTCAACCGCTGGATCGTGACATAGTAGTGATCATATGAGAGTTGCTAGAAGATTCCAGCTAGCCTGAAGTGCCTGATCCTGCCCAATCTTGGAAACTAAGCAGGGTCAGGCCTGGTTGAAATCTGGATGGGTGACTTAAGTGTTGTGAATTACCCAGAGAGCTATGGCTATGGGAGATATAGACATGTAATGTATAAATAAATAAATTGTATACCCCAGTTAAGGCATTTTCATGCTAGGATTAGAGTGTCCAAAGAATTTATGTGAAGCTGCAAACCAATATTCTTGGAAACCAGATCACCAGATTCCCAATTTTCAGGTTGAGGCAGGAGCTAAATTGCTGGAAGCTCATAGTGGGCTTATTGTGTACTGTTTTATCATTTGGGGATTGATAGAAAAAGTTTCAAAGGGTCACAGTTTGCATTTAGAGTAGTGAGCTGAGAAACTACACCTCTTTCATTTAATTAACTATATGTTGAATGGTTAGTAAACAGGAACCAGATGCATCCACTCAAGCATAAAAATGCAGGTAATTAGGACATAGCTGCCTCATTTGCTAACTTTCCCAGGTACTTGTGGGTGAAGCAAGACCTAGAATAAATAATTGTATCTGGTTCTGCAGTGTATCATTTCTCAGGAGATTAGAATTAATCAAGAAATGTTAACCCTGACACTTTCTGGAATATATAAATATATATGCATGCTTCAGTCCTCACTTGGGCTATCTCTGTTTCTTTGCCATTTATAGAGTTATTAGATTTGTAACGTGCTTTTTCCTTACAACAAACTCAAAGCAGCTTATATTATCCTCCTCACCTGCTCTCAGTCTTATGCCTACAGCTATAACCCTGTGAGGTAGGTTGGGCCAAAGATCTGTGACTGGCCCCAAGTCACCTGGTGGGCTCCACGGCCAGGCAGGAACTAGAACCCGGATCGCCTGAGTCCCAGTCCCATGCTCTTAACCACTACACCACACTGGCTCTGTAAGGCCATACCTTGCCTTAGAGCGTAATACAGTGGTGAGGGGACCAATCATTATGAATGTGTGGTCACGGGAAGTTTTCTAGTAATTGCAGTACAAGCATGGTCCATCCTTGTCCTCTTTCAAAGCAAGTGATTGGTGTCTCTAAAAACATGCCCTAGAATTAGAAGGTGGGTGTGTCAGTCATGCCGCCCCCTCCCCCCGCCGTAAGCAGCATTCAGAAAAATACAAGCAAGAGACGGCACTGTTGCCGTCAGTGTCAGGAAGTGTGCACAGCAGTCTAAGCCTTTGTCTCAAGGAGCCGCAGGTAGTGGCTTCTTTGCCTCCAGGGATTCCACCCCGTTTTCTCATGTGTGGCTCAACCTGTGCTCTGAACATGCCGTGGCTGCTGTCCTCAGAGCATGGTATGGCCAAGGAGACAACAAGCTGCAAAACGTCTTGTCTTCTGGGGTCCTCCCCTTTGCCTTGGTCCCGGCACCACTGATGGTTGATCCCTGAGAGTTTCCTCTCAGGCTGGAAGAGGTTCTCCATGAAAGCAGGCTAGAGTATGTCTGGAATAAGCAACTGAAAGAAAGGTCAGCCGAAATGCCTCTTGCTTCATTGCGCACGTGTGTAGAGTGAACCGTTCAGTTTATTACTGTTGTCGTGATCAGCACCTTTTCCTTGGTATTTTAATTAGAATTTCTACTTGTCAAACAAAGGAAAAAATGAAATCAAGGTAATGAATGAGAAAAGCAAAGAATCCTTACTGGAGGTAAGCCGTATGTTTATAATGTAATTTTGTTATGAAGGAGACTGTCTCCCCTGTTCCCACATTCCCACAAGGGAGCACAGCTTCCTCATTTTTCCATTTGTTACTATGCAAAAACAGGCTGTTCTAGTACATAATGGTTATTCTGAAAGAGGTGCTTCAAAGCTCTATAAAATCAAGCTTTTGTGAATAGCCAATAAATAAATCTGGGGAAGTTGATCCCAAAGGCCTGTGATGGGAGACCATCAAGGTACAAAACAGTGGTTAGCACAGAAATGCACAAAAGAAGCATATTTGAAGACATGATAACTTGCGGTATTCTCCAAACATAGCCAAACCAGCACACACTGCATTGTTCCTTCAGGGCATGGTTTCTTCTCTGATAAAGACATATTTGCAAATACTTCTGAAGCTGATTAAAATAACAACATTTTCCTTCCCTTCACATTTCAGAAGGCTGTTTAACCTTCAAATCACGAAAAGCATCACAGAGCTCTCTGTTCAATCTAATAGGCATTCTTTTATATTTTCTCTGAAGAGAACTTTAGCTTTTTCAAAATAAAGAAAACTCTTCTGTAGGGATCAGGAACTGGAGGTACAGCAATGCAGACAGTTAGTTCTTTTGAAATGCTTCTAGAGTAGTTTTCTTCAGATTTGAAACTGGACAATAGGTGTATATCTTGTTAGCACATTTTTGCTGGAAGTGCAGAAGGGAAATTTGATAAGTAGTTGGGATGCAATCCTGCAGGGATGATTGTCAGCCTGCAATCGAAGAGGCTGATAAGCATATTATGCAGAGTGGGAGGGATGGCAGAAGTGGGTTTTCCCCTCCACCTGCTCTGCATTTGCACTGGATGGCCAACCTCAGTGGCCTATCAGGGCTGCTGCTGAGGAGGGGAGCAGGCTTGAGAAAGGCCAAGAAAGCTTCCAGCCTCCCCTCCGTCCAGCACCCAGCACAATGACCCCTTTACCCATCTTCCAAGGTTGCCTTTCCCACACAGTTTCCCAGGGGGTGGTGGGGTAGCAGAGTTTGGTGCCCAGGGTCCAAGGGCATGCCTCCGTCTCTAATCCTGGAGCTGAGACATCCAGATATCCTGCTGGCCCTCCAGACACTGTCTAGGGGTCATAGCATCACCTTTCCATGCATTTCCAGAGCATGGCAACTGCTTCTTTGCATGCAACCTCATACACTTGGCTCTGTAACTCTCTTGCATATCATTTTGTGTACTTATTTTCTGACCTGGAGGAGACATGTGATGTTCTTTTTAAGATGGGTTTGGGCTGGGCTGTAGCCCAGAGGACTAATTCTGCATGTAGTATGCCCCCAGCTTTGGTCCCCAGAAACACCATGTAAAGCTGGGAAAAACTTCTGCCTGAAACTCTGCATAGCTGCTGCCAGTCCGTGCTGGCAATCCTGTGGTAGATGCCATCTGGCTTAGTGTAAGGCATTTCCTGTATTCCATTCTTGTTTTGTTTAATCCAATTTTCACTCCACAGGAAAGCTTCTGTGGCACATCTGTCATTGTACCTGAAGTTGAAGGAGCCCTTTATTTGAAGGAAGATGGAAAGAAGTCCTGGAAGAAACGTTATTTTCTTCTGCGAGCTTCTGGAATTTATTATGTACCCAAAGGAAAGACCAAGGTCAGACAAGTCAAAGAAATCCTTTCAAGTAATAATCCAATTCATGAAGGTGAAAGTAAAGAACTCCCGAGGTGACTTTTTAAGAACAGCATCTGCTGCACCTGAGAGGGGTCCTTCTTTGGACTGCAACACTTGTGCAAATATTCGGAAGCGGTTGCTGAACTCCTTTGACACTCCCTGCCCCAAACACACACTCCATTTTTGTTTTTCTAGTTAGATAAAAACACCGTATTTGTTTAACATCCCAACTTGAAAGGATTTTCCAAAGCTGTAGTTGGCCATTCACAGCAAAATGGTGGCATTACATTTTGTTTAGTTCCCTATGGAAAAGTATTTTGACAGTGTGTAAATAGTCTGGATTTTGAACAGCAAAATGCAAACAGAAGAAATCTGCCATTGTTTAAGACAAGGCTGAAGAGGAACTTAACATGTGGCTTTGATAGCTTCTGTTTTTCCTGTCCCCCTCACCTTTTCCCAAGATCCTTCCTGGAACTACTTAGAATCTTTTGGCACGTATGCTAAACATTTTCTTCTAAAAGTTCATTTTTTGGTTACACATGATAAGAAGCAACCTTTGAGGCACAACTTGTAAAAACCACAAACTAAACGCAGGGTAAAGGATTATTTCAATCTATAACATAAGAAGTGTGGTTTGCTTCCTAAGATCCATGAGCTTTGCTGTTCTTGCTCTCCTTTGTGGTCCATGGGAGTTCTCCCTTCCCCAAAAAGTGCTCCAGAAGGTCAGGGGCCCTCACAACTATGATCAGTGCAGCTCAAAGGGCTGCATGTGGAGGACAGAGTCATTGAAGACCCAGGCAGCGGCTGCCATGCGATGCCATTCCTTTTGGGCTCTGCTGGGTGCAGCCCTGCGTGTGTTGGATCTGAGAGTGAATTCCAGTACTGCCACATTTCCTTCATTCCGGTTTGATAAAGATGATAAATATGCATATTCCAATGAAATGCGTGGCATGGAAGCTCTACCTACTAGAAATTTTGCTCCGACCTCCCTTCCAGCTCCTGAAGTTTCACCTTTAAACCTAGCTTGATGTTTTTATGGGACTTGGAAACATGCTTTTCTCCTAGGGCCTAACAACATCTCATGTGCCTCACTGAATCGCAATAGGAAAATTTTGGGAGGGAACGATTTGGAGTGAACTGAGGAGAGAGCACTAACCCTTTGCCTGCTAAACTGCTCCATTGCTACCCCCACCTGCCTTCCAAGCTGGTCCTCCTCCTCCTATATGTCTGCACGACAACTGGATAAATATTTTCTAGTGTGATGCTTGTAATCACAGAATAAACACAGCACTGTCTTTAAAAATACAGATCTGACCCAAATAGTGTTGAAGAATTATTACGACATAGATAGCTGGGAAAATTACTCCTGTCTAGCTTTCCAGGTGTTGTGGCTGCCATTGCAGGTCTTACCACATTGGAATTCCAAATACAGGACTGGATCCGAGAGTGAAACAAGATTACAAAATTGAGAGCCACTTACATAGGCAGAGTAGCTGCCCAACAGTGGGAGCACAGTATGGCCCTAACTATGCCCAGGCAGCCCTTCCATCATTTGGAGCATCCTTGGCAGGGTAATAATGGGCCCAAACCACACTGAGCCTGATGGGGTGCAACTGCTCGGAAACCACCAGACTAGTTTCTTAGCAGCATCTTGGCCAACGCAGAGAAGCGTGAGTCAGGGCTGAAAAAGAAATCCAATTAGCTCTCCTTTACATATTGCTGCAAAATTCTGGAACATTGCACGATAACTTTTCTTCCCAAAGTTAATCTACTTATATCCATTTTGCAAGAAAACAAGGCAAAATGGAACAATTGCTATCCACTGCCACCACCTCAGCGTAATCTTTAGTGGAGTTCATTTGCACTTAAACATTCTAGCTTCACTCTTATTGTGTCTTGGCGTGCTACAGCATTAACTTGGCACACTATAACTTGAAACAAATAACTTTCTTCCTTTTTCCCCCTTGGTTATTTTGATTTCTGTAACCTTCCATCCCCCACAAACTTCAGTAATGGTCTACATGAAAAGAGACAAGAAAATGCTTATTTCTATGCACACCAAAAGCCTAATACGGTTGATTTGATGGGCCTTGGTACCATCTGTTAGGAATGGAGTTTACCAGTAAATGAAAAATAGCCATCCTTTCCACCAAAACTTATTTGGTAGCTGTCTTCTGGATTAGCTTGTATGAAGGTACTGTCAGTTTAGACTTCCTTGCCTGGAAGCACAGATCTCAAAGTAATGGCCAAAATAGACCTGATATTAAGTTCAACTTTACACCTTTGCATTTAACTTGTATTTTAAAAAAGGAAATTGCAGGCTCTGAGGAAATGTAATTATTAGGATTTTAGCACACTTTAATTTTAACCCTCTGTTCCCATGCTGTGATCTTGCAAAACTGCAAATAGCTTCTGAGCACCAGAAAGTATGTTCATGACTATCGTTACTGCCATAGGTTAATTCACAAGTTTTACTAATTAATGGTTTGTTTGGTTTTCATTTTTTTAGACATCTCGAGATTTGGCTTGCTTCATACAATTTGAGAATGTAAATGTCTATTATGGTATCCAGTACAAAATGAAATATAAGGCACCTACAGACCACTGTTTTGTTTTAAAGGTATGTAAGAAAAGAACGTGCATTTTGAATTGTTGCTGTTGTAAACCTGTATGGTATTTACAATGCAGCCCTGTACATAAGGACTCAGAAGTTCCACTGAGTTCAACAAGGCTCAATTTGACATTAGTGTGTATAGTATTTCATCCTTTTTGCACAATCCTTAGGCATCCCTATTCATTTAGGATCAGGATGAGCATCCAGTGGAAGGGAACAATGAAACCCTTCTTTCCCATGCCTTCTTTATCCCAAATTCCATACCCTTGTGGCTCATTTAAAAAGATGGACTTTAGATTAATTTTCTGACTGATTCAGCATGGCTTTTCTTACATTATTATGAAGGGAAAAGCCAGACTTGTAGTTTCATTGTAAGAGATGGATCTGTATCGGGAACAATGCTTTTGGTGTGTTCATGAAAGGTTGGGAGTGAGAGGCAGGCTGTGATGTGGCCAGGTTTATGGATGACAGCACATTATGCAAGGCGGGTGCACAGCACTCCAAATTGAACTTTCTGAACTGGGTGAATCGGTGTTCAGACAATTAAGGTGGTTTACTATAAGTATGAAAGGGAGCAAATTGGGGCATCCCCGAATTTTATATTTTTGGGGTGTCTGCTTTGCTCACAGCAGCTGACCAGGACCAAGTCAGTGGATGGTTAAGTGAACATATCAAACCAGTGCATAGCAGCTGTAAAAAGGGGCAAGGGGAAAAAGTGCAAATTCCAGGTTTGGGAACATTAAGGAATCAGAAGGAAAATTGCTAATACTGTAAATCTGTGATGTGGCCACACTTAGAATACGGCATAGTATTTTCAAAAGGTGCATTGGATAGCTGAAAAGGTTGGAGAAGGGAGAACAAAACAATTAGAGGACTGCATCAGCCCTCCTATATGGAAATTTTACAACATTGGGGTGTGGGTGTTAGTTTGGGGGGGGGAAAGGTAAGTATGGGGAGATAGACCACATGTGTATACAATCATGCATGGTGTAGAGGAAGTAGTTGGAGTTGTATTTTTCTTCCTCTCACAGTTTTAGGGCCTGGCGTAATCTGAGCTACCCAAATGTTGGGAGATAGAAAGAAGTTCTTCACACAGATTTGCTAAACAGAGAATTCTGCAGAAGAGCCTTAGAGTAGCTGTTTGCAATGCCGGTCAGGATGGGTGGCCAAAAGCAAAATGCCCTGTGATGCACCCTCCCCCACACTCAGCCACCCAACTGAAGGTGCACTTGATGGCAGTGATGGGCAGATGTAGCACAAGCATCTCCTCTATGCAGCTGCGAGCCACCCGCCTCTTCAAGGTTCCACGTGGAGAGAAGTTGTTGTTAGTCGCGAAGTCGTGTCCGACCCATCGCGACCCCATGGACAACACTCCTCCAGGCCCTCCTGTCCTCCACCATCTCCCAGAGTCCACCCAAGCTCACACCAACCGCCTCAGTGACTCCATCTAGCCACCTCATTTTCTGCCGTCCCCTTCTTCTTTTGCCGTCAATTGTTCCCAGCATTAGGCTCTTCTCCAGGGAGTCCTTCCTTCTCATTAGGTGCCCAAAGTATTTGAGTTTCATCTTCAGGATCTGGCCTTCTAAACAGCAGTCAGGGTTGATCTCTAGGACTGACCGGTTTGATTGCCTTGCGGTACAAGGGACTCGCAGGAGTCTCCTCCAGCACCACAATTCAAAGGCCTCAATCCTTTTGCGCTCAGCCTTCCTTCCTTATGGTCCAGCTTTCACAGCCATACATTGCAACTGGGAAAACCATAGCCTTGACTATACGCACTTTTGTTGGCAGGGTGATGCCTCTGCTTTTTAGTATGCTGTCTAGATTTGCCATAGCTTTCCTCCCCAGGAGCAAGCGTCTTTTAATTTCTTGGCTGCAGTCCCCGTCTGCGGTGATCTTGGAGCCCAGGAAAATAAAATCTGTCACTACCTCCATTTCTTCCCCATCTATTTGCCAGGAAGTGAGAGGACCAGATGCCATGATCTTAGTTTTCTTAATGTTGAGTTTCAAGCCAACTTTTTTGCTCTCCTCCTTCACCCACATCAAGAGGCTCTTTAGTTCCTCTTCACTTTCTGCCATGAGAGTGGTATCATCTGCATATCTGAGGTTGTTATTTCTCCCAGCAATCTTAATTCCAACTGGTGATTCATCTAGCTCCGCTTTTCTCATGATGTGCTCTGCATATAAGTTAAATGGACAGGGCAACAGTATACAGCCTTGCCAAACTCCTTTCTCAATTTTGAACCAATCAGTGGTTCCGTGTCCAGTTCTTACTGTTGCTTCTTGACCCACATATAGGTTACTCAAGAGACAAATAAGATGATCTAGTACTCCCATCTCTTTAAGAACTTGCCACAATTTATTTACAATCCTATCTTAGGCCCAGAAGCAGGTTCTTATCAGGAGCATTTGCTGTAAGTTGAATTGGAGTTGTGGGCATTATGGTAGGTGGCATTTCTTTTGGAGACTGAAAAAGTCTTAGCCCAAGATTAAAAAGAATTATTCACAGTTGACAGTAGTAAGGTAATCTATATGTAAATTGGCTCATTTAGTCAGTCTGTTGTGTCTCAGATACCAGGAGAATTTAATTATGCTTTATTGGTGCAGGTTTTGCTTGAGTAACCTGAGAGTAATGGTGCGTAATGTGGAATTAATCTAGGGTGAAAGGATGGGTGCCCTGGGAAAAAACTAGGACAATAGTAACATCATATCCTATTTCCATCGTTTAGTACCTGTCATTTTAGCCCATCCAGCTGGGGTTTTCTAATGACCTTTTGGGCCACCTTTCAGAGGGTGCTCCTAAGAATTGTGTCTGTCCAACAGCAGCATTGGCCTGCTTAGGATGATTCGGGTGATCTGCTCGTTCGATATTGTTTGCAGTTTTCCAAAGTGCAACATTGGCTAAAGCAGAAATTGGGCATTTTGCGCATTGCATGTCAACCTGCCTCTCTGTGCAAACTGTGTGCTAAGAAGCAGCTGTTTGGGATATCTGACGGTGGATAAAGTCTTCATGTACTCAAGCCATGAGAATTAAAGTTTAGCACATTATTTATGACTCCACCAGCGAGTGGAATTCAAGGTGGCTCACAACATTTAAAATGTATACAATTAACCCCTTTGAAAATGGGGGTCTTCTCTGAAAAGAAGGGCACTGATCATGGAAAGCTGCTCCTCCCAATTTGCGGGGGGGGGGGTCTCATTTTCCCCTTACCGCAGCCCACCCTACTTGGTGGGGCTTTCTGACTCTTGTGTAGCATTTTCAGAGGGTTGGAAAGGCTCCTGTGAGACCAGGCTGCACTGCAGATCCCACATAAATCTGGATTCCATTCCATGCCTGCAGATTCATGTCAGAAAAGCCTGTCAGGTTTTCTGAAAGGGAGCAGGGGCTGTTTATGAGGGGGAGCTTTCAGTGGAGGAAAAACAGGTCATCTTTGAATTTAAGCAGTGATCAAATCTCTGTGTTGCTTCCTGGTGGATCTTGTTGGAACATCCCCCATGCAATATATTATTAGGAAAACTAAGGGGAATCTATAAGGATTGCTGAAATAACTGTTTGGGCTCAGATTTATTTATTTATTTATTTAGTAATCTCTTCTGCCAACTCAAGATATCATTCCATGTATCTGATTAAAAGGGTTCTGGTCCACAAAAGTTATGCTATAATAAATTCGTTACCCTTTGAGGTGTCCTAGAAATCTTCATTATATTTTTGCTGCAACCAATTGACACAGCTAGCTAAACCTCTGGAAATTAAATAATCGAAAAGTATCTGATGCCCTCTGGCGGATTTGATGCATTACTACAACACATCCAGATTCCTGGGTGTCTTTTTGAAGAATTCTCTCTGGTCTAATGGAAGATCTTGAAGAGACAAACCGGAATAAAGGATACAGCAGTGAATCCCTCACTGTTCCACCAGCAGAACCAATAATGCTGGTGCAGCCAAGAATCTCCTGTCCTCTCTTCCCCCTTTAGCCACCCTGTGCACCCCACAAATCCATTCTCGAGAGTTTCTCCATCCCTCCTGCTTTGTTGTGAAGCCCTTTCTGCAGTGTTCTGGTTAGTAGTAACAGTGAAGAGAAAGCAGGTGAGGAGAAAGAGCAGCTAGTGGCAAATGGTAGTGCAAAGGTAGACTCCTGGAGGAAGGGGGCCCATGGAGTGTCTCGACCATGGAAACTGAGAAACTTGGAGCTGGCACCACACGGTAGTGGATGCAAGCTGGCACCAGTTCCTAGAAAGGAGGAGTGAGGAGCAACATGAAAAAGCTTTCAGCAAAAGTTTGTGTTTCTCAAAAAGTGGCCTCCTTTTTGGAAGTGCAGATTGTACAAGTATCTTCCAGGCTGTTGTATGATGCAGCTCCCCCTGGTGGCCCAACAGAAAAGGCAGCCTGGTAGTCTTGCAACTATTTGCAAGGTGAACATTGGAGTTGTAGGTACTTGCAAGACTGGGTCCAGTCTGATCATGCAGACCAGTTGGGAGCTAGAGCAGATCTATAAAAGGCTTCTTGGCCACAACCAGATGAGTTTTGCTGATATTCATCTTACACTGTGTTCCCCCTTCCCTGTTCCTTACTCTGTCTTCATCGCTGGTCTTGCCACACCTTGTCAGTTTCAAATCTTGTCCTGCTCCTGACTGTTTTTGCCTCTGGCCTGGTAATGCCTTGTCCATTGACTGATGCTTTCCTGAGTAAGATTTGGTTCTCCTCCTACCTCTAGCACCCCCGGTTTCTTCAAGGACATTTGGTGCTTATGTCCCAGAGGTTACCGTATGATTGCCAAGTGACTGTCCACAGTAGGTAACCTTGTGTACACAGTGAATGCTCAGAAGCATGATGTAAGATGAATTTATTTAGCTCAAAATCATGCTGTAGAATCTCTCAAGCACAGCTTCCACCTGATACATGTCTTATTTAAAAAAAACTTTGAATCTTATGGCACAAGCCTATGTTCTGAAGTGTAGGTTCTTGTCTTTGGCTTACAGATGCATGTCTAATTCACTTTCTGCTAATTTAAGACTGTTACTGCTTGCCCCTATTTTTATTACAGCAGGTTTTTAATTGATAAAAATGTTCTTGTTGTCACTGTTGTTGTCAGCATCCCCAGATACAGAGAGAGTCACAATATATCAAATACTTGTGCTGTGAGGACCAGCAGGCTCTACATCACTGGGTAACTGGTATAAGAATTGCAAAGGTGAGAAAGAAACGTGTTTCTCCATCATACAATACAAAGAAAATGGAATGATGAAATCTAAGAAACAGTTATGCACCAGGGGACCACAATAACTAGGAATTTGCAGCAGATTCAAGCCCATATTCTTTTTCTATAATATTTTTCAACAGTTATGCAAATAGGAAAAGCCATTTTAGTTTAGATTTCTTCTTGTGTAAGTACTAAGGTTTTTCAACCTAGAGGCTGTAGTTCTGTTTTTATTAATTTTTATTGTGGAACTCAACCCCCACCCCTTCCAAACCACGCCATTAAAAGGGAGGGGAAAAGGAATATACCTGAAACATTACTATTTTTTATTAAAATGTAAAAATATCCATTGCATCTATTAAATGTGTATAGCTATATGTTAGTCTGAAAATAGTATGAAGTACAGTGGCATTCAGCATAGCATCCTATTTCCATCAAATGAGGTGTTCTTTCATTGCCAGTATGACATTTTTCTTGTTTGTAGCTCTTCCCTTCCCACTCATAATAAGAGCAAATGTGGATGGAGAAAAATTGCTGTATTTGCAAGGCAAACACTACTTTAGTTTTCAGTCTTGTCAAATGTGGATTGAGTAGTTCTATAAGTAAGTCAGTCCAGTGCACCTAAAGTTCAGCTGGGGAGCACTTAAACTCTGAACTGCGCAAATGAAGATCATTTTTCAAATATGTTGGGTTTTAGATACCTGTGCATTTTCTCTTACAAAAATCTTGACCCAGTCATAGTTCCTTTGAGTTTGTAACACTACTTGCAAGTTCAGCAAAGCTTAGTTTAGATCAGTGGGGCAGATTTGGACCATATGCTGGAGTAGCATTTTTATCCCTTTCAAGTTTTTTGAAGATACTGGTACTCATTTTCTGAATGCTGGACCAAATGCATGATAAAATGTGTGCTTCATTTACCAGTATGGCAAGACACTGTATGATAACTACATCCGTGCAGCGCATAAGGCTGGTTTGGCTTCTCGACTGGCAAAGTCAGGAAACACTGAATCAATAGTTGCTGTGGGAACATCTGCAAAAGGTACTAGGATGTTTTAAATTATACATGTATTTGGTATGTGGAAGAGCATCGTGTAGAGATTGCCAAGGGTGTAGGCCTCAGCACTTCAAATGGCATTTAATTTCAGGTGTCCTCTCATTGTCCTGCTACTGCTCTGCACCTTTCAGGTACTAGACAAAACACTGCTTTGAACATGCCAAATTGAATTGTTGACCTGCCCCCCCACCGCCCGTTGGCAGTGTGAACCCGATGATACAGCATGAACTACTTCTAAAAGTCCTCTTAGTTCCTCATATATAGCATGCACAATTGTGGTGCTGATGTTCCAAAAGCAAGTCCCTTTAGGCGTGCAGAATTTGTTGTATGATTCTTTGGATACCAACTGTTCTATATGCATTTCTTATGCTCACGATGGTTGTCTTGTTCAGCTTCTTTCCATCCTTTAAAATAATATGATCATATGATGTGGCTATCCTTATAAAATCTAGGGAGGACTCTTGACGTGAAATCCTGGAGATGGAGTCCCTCAGGATCATAAGAATATATACAGAACTGTTGAAAAGGGGCCTCTAATGAAGACCTTTGTATTATAACAATGATTCAAAGCAAGAAGTTTTGCCTTTGTTCACTTCAATTTGGCTTCCTTCTTCACGTGTTAAACAAGCTTGTTCTATGATTGATTATGCTTTTATCACAGGTAGCACACATGCAAATGGACAGGTTCCCCAAAGCATAACCCTCAGTAAAACAGATTCTTCAGAGACTGGAAAATCTGCCGAGATGCCAAAGGTACAAACCAAATTTATTACGGACCTAAGAATTCCCTTACTCAATCATGCTAAAGCAGGTGTGGGCAGAATTAGCCTGGGAGATCACTAAATTATTTGCAGTAGAAGATTGTCAAGACTAAACTATTTCAATAGAAAAGAGCAACACTCTGCATTTATTTAGAGTGCAATCCTGTGCATGTTTAGACAGAAACCATGCCTAGCATTTCTCAGCCAGCCTGTAGGACTGTTTAACCAAGTACAGGATTGTACCCTTAAACTATTAGTAAGCCAGGTGTGGATGTGTCTTAGTATGTGACATGCAAGAGGTTCTTGGCTTCTCCTTGTAAGTCATCATTTTGTATGTGGCTGCAGCCCAAGTCATTCTTTTGTACTTGGCTCTGGATGGTATACCCTGGGAACGTATTCTGCAAATAAGATTGGTCACTCAAAATCTTATACCACAAATGGGAGACTGTTGCTTCTGAGATGCCCTTGCATTAAAACAAAGTGCCGACAAGATGCCCAGTATGTTTTGCTCATGCCAGTCTTTGCCAATGAATGAGGAATTGGGTAAGAGCTAACAAAATAAGCTTGGGGATACTTTAAAAAATGTGTCATCTGAATAACCTGATTAAGTGATTATGTTAGATCTTACTGCGCTGAATGAATGCATTTGACTTAGCTCTTATGATCTTTATATGCTCAACATAAGTGGAGCTTTTGATTGGCATAGAAACAGTTCCATAGATGAATATAAGCAAAAGTAGGAAGTGCTTAGAATACATATGCACAGCAACAACAGTAACAACGGTAACAACGGTAAGCCACCACCTATTAATGAAAGGGAATGGCATGCATTATATTGCCTATTGGACTCTATTCATCTTAAGAATACAGTCCAGCAATCACATGATTTTGTGATTCTGTGAAAGCAAACTCACTCGTGCAAACATTCTGCCTGTGCAAACATGATACCTAATGAAAGCGTGCACGTATAACTTTTCATTTAACTTACATGACAGATGCATTTGAAGAGATTAGACATTTCTCTCATTTGTGTAACGTGTGTGGCTAGAGGCTACTAAGTTCGGGTCAATTTTTTTAAAATAAGAGAATGTAGAGACAGGTGTTTTTTGGTTGGTACAAAAGGAAGGTGAAATTGTAAGACAAGCACCATAGTACACAACTGCATTTCCTTGGCTTGGGAACAGCCACTTTCTTCTCTGGTGCATTTTCTACCTTAGCCTGTCATTGCCTTGCCTTTCCCTGCTCATTCTGAAATTCTTCCCTTTGTTAAAAGGTTAAGAAACCAGACAACACAGCTGATTCAATTCAAGCACCAACCCCAAACACACCACAGTTGAAACACCAGCGCAAAGCTGGGGGGTCGCACTCAGCGCCACCAATGCCGCCACAGAGAGTATCTTCTGCTGTTACTGCTCCGTTGCAGCTGCCCACCAATGCTGAGGGGAAAGGCAAAGTTTGCCCATCTGATGCAGCAGAATTTCCTCCACCCCCTGAATCGATGCTGCCACCCCCTGAGCTGGAGGATTTGCCACTGCCCCCACCGCCTCCGCCTGAATACTTCGAGTCTCCTCCTGACTTTATTCCTCCTCCACCACCTTCCTGTGCTGTGGCCGTGAGCGCTGGAGCACCCCCACTGCCTCCGCCCCCACCTTCTGCCTCTCTCCCAAGAATGCCACTGTCCATCAAGAAAAAGCCCCCACCTCCTCCCAGAAGGCAAGAAGAAAGTGCTGGGCAGGCCGGGTTGCCAAAACCAAGCGCACCACCTCCAAAGACAGAAACAGCTGGGCAAGGAGACTTCATGTCTGATCTCATGAAAGCATTAGAAAAGAAGAGGGGAGCAACGTCATGAAAGAGACAATTCAGGTATAAGTGTGTGGTTTTACTTGTGAGAGAACACCGTGAGGACAATCTGGAGGAACCGCCCAGTGCTCTTCCTGTTACCCGAAGAAACATATGCTCCAGAAAGTCATGCAAGGACTTAACATCTTTCCCAAGGACATGGCAGTTTCCCACACTTCTAGTGCAGAGCACAAGAAGCAGCACGGAAAATGCAGATTCCAGAGAAAGGCCTTGTTTGTCACGAGCTAGGCGTCCCCTCCCAAGCAAGATTGTCTCTCCAGCACTTCTTGTAAGCATCTTTATTCTACATAGATTCACAAGGAGATGTGTTGACCCCTCTCTGCCCCACTTTACCCAAAGCTTTGCTTATGAAACTTTCAGGGTGTCTCTGGAAGGAGGCGTGTTTTGGAACTGGGGACACCTCGATTCTGCACTCTTGAGCCCCTAAATGGTCCAGCCTGTGGCTGTGCTGGCGGGCCTTCAGATTCACCTTCAGGAGGTTGGTGTTCTCCATCTGAGAGTCTACCCAATTCCAAATCTCCCCTCTCCCGTCCTTCATCTGCTTCATTCCCACAGGTGGGAGGGAAACTGGGCCCCATGAGTGCCCCTGAGCTACTTTCATAGAACAGTAGATTTGGATGGGGCCATGAAGGCTGTCAATTCCAACCCCCTTCTGTTGCAGGACACCACGTTACACCATCCCACTCAGATGGCTGTCCAGTTTCTTTTTAACGTCTCTAGTGTGGGAGAGCCCACTACCTCTCTAGGCAGCTGGAGAGTAGGCTCAGACTGGTGCAGGTGGAGGCCTGTCTGTTAAAACATTTCTGTTATCCGAGTGTGAGCTGAGTGTGAGCCTCATCTGGTTCAGTCAACTCTACATCATCCACACAGTCTGAGCTATTGGTCACACCAAAATAAGCCATTTCTCATGTGCACCTGGGAATCTTGTCAGAGTGTGCACACACGACACTGTTTGATCCAGCAAAAAGGGCAAAGAGACTCGTAGCAACTTAAGGTGGATGGATTTATGGAAGGCAACAGCCTAATCAGGTTCTCCCTGAGGTGGCCTGTTCTTGCCCTGCCTCACCAGATCTTACCAGCTACCATGAGCCAGAGCAGGTTGCAGAAATACGAGGTGGAGTTCTGAAACTGTAAATTATAGCTCTCCAGACAGTTCTTAAATTCCCTTCTTTTCTTACTGGCCTGAACTCTGAGAAACATTTGTCTGAACATACAATTCTGCTTTCCATAGTTAGGAAAAAGTGGAAGATGCTACCTGAGACTTATAAGCACATGTTCTCCTTACCACAATATGCCACACCTAATTTCTTTGTTATTTTGAAGCAAAGACATCTCAACCAAAATTGACATTATTTTTAGTGACATCTGAAAGCAGTATCTATGGTTTTTTCCTGGTTGAAAGCCAGGCTAACCATTTTGGAGAATTGAACTTCAGTTCTTCATCCAACATCTGCCGAGTCAAAAGTTATCTTAAGCGACAGCTAAAAATATTTGCTCAAAGCCTTTGTAATTATCTGTATATTTTAAGTAATGATTGCCTCCCAACAAACCATTCATCATTTATGATTCATTTTAATTCTCCAGTGTTCATTTTAACAGTATTCATTGCCAGTCCATGAATAAAATATTCTGTGACTTCACACTAGTGTCCAAGTTAATGACCACCCACCGCTGCTAATTTTAAGCATGCAACACATACACATTTGAGACAATCTCTGGAAAGGTGAATGTTCTTCTTTTAGGACTTTATTTACCTTTCTCCAATGGCAGTTTTAAGATCACAGTGGCTGTTAAAGTAACTGATTAATGCAAATTGGGAAACTCAGCTTGGGGCCAGATCTGATCCTTGCCATGGTGTCATACTGGTAGTCCTCAGACTAGCTCACCTGCAGAACTAGCTTGCCAACCAGAGATTTCACCATGGCTTGATCTGAAGGGACTGCGGTGGCTGAAATTATGTTCTAACATTTTAAAATCCAGTAGTTTTAATGATCCCATGTAATAGTTATAAAATCCTCAAAACAGACTGTCCTAGCTTCTAGACTAGATATACAGGGCACAATCCTATGCCTGTTTAGACAAAGCTGAACAACTTCCTAAGGTGGCTCAAGAACGCTGGGAATTGTAGAACTTATTTTTTTGTCAGGTTGTGCACAGAAGAATGCTCTCAGAGTCCTTTTGCAGAAAGTGCCATCAGCTGAATCATGGACAATTACCAGTAATTCCAACAATGACAGCAAAGGAAGAAAAGTAGGTTATTAGGAGGGGGCACGTGTTTCAACTCTGCTTCCAGTCACTATACATCACATCAGAGAAATGAAGACCGCTGAATTTGTGGAGAATATAGAGCTGGCAAGAAAAGGGTAGATGACCTTGCAGAAAGTTGGAGGTGGCTAGGTTGACAGCAGCTAGGCTTAAAGGAAATGTCACTGAAAAGGGATGAAGTGGCAGGATGGTGGGGTGAATGAATGAATGATGTAACAGGAAAAGAAAAAGTATGTGCAACTGAACTTTCCCCAGAGCATGAAAAACAAATGAGCCTAGTTATGATGGGGGTCCCCTACCTTTTCTGGCCAGTGAGAGCATTTAGAATTTTGAAAGTGTCATGGGTGCTGTCACAAAATGGCTACCAGGGGGCTTTCCCATTGGCTGCTGCGGTGAATACAGTCTCACTCCACAGTGGTTTGGTCCTATTTGAAATATGTATCCATTTAATCTTGATCACTGTCTCTTTTAATCAAGATGAACAACTAACTTTAATGTCCTTGGCCCAAGCCGGGGGGCGTTCTGCATAACCAGCTCTTTCGGCCACTTTCTGCATCTGAAAGGGGTGCTGCAAAACCCTCTGCAAGAGGCGGACCTAAAAGTAAAACAATGGCCAAAAACAAACAAACAAAACCACAATTATATAGGGACAAAATTATAAAACATCTGGTGCATACTCTTTCAGGGAGGGTTTGGTTAAACAGTTAGGATACCCAGTTTCAGAGTTTATCCTTGGCCAGTCTGCTATGACTGCAACTTAACTCTCTTGAGCATAACTAGCATAAAAAAGACAGCACACAGTGAACACCTTACCTCTGAAAAATCATTCCTGGCAGCCTTTTGGGCAGCTGACTCTGCCATCCAATTTCTGAGCACATATCTAGGATTAATACCTGCAGTGAAAAAGGAAAAAAAAACTGTTGAGTCTATAAAGTTAAACAAGGGCATTTCACTAGAGATTTACTATGCTGAAATCCACATCCTTTCTTAGTACTGATATAAAAGTAATTAAGGATGTGAAAGGACTGGAATTTAACAGGGAAAAAGTCAAGCTTAAAACCCATCATTAAACTTTTATGTTGCTCATGTGCCTCAGACTTAGCACTATGTTGCCCTCCACAACTCGCTTCTGCACTAGTGGAGGAAAGAAGTGTTACCCCAATTTTTGTTCAGTCTGAAATTATAATAAGGTATAATCTATTATTGGCTCCTTTCATCCCCCACCTCTCTTCCTGGCTATATTATACCTTATAAAATATTGGTGGCTTTACAAAAAACCCCAAAGATTTTGAACTCTGTCTGTAAGCAAAGCAAAATATTTTTTGCTTTATGCTGCTGCAGACCTACAGCAGCATAAAGAAGATGAGCCAGTTATATATCCCCTAAAAAGAAAATGTGAGCAGTAAACTGCTTAGGAATGTCCACATTATTCTAAAGGTCACAACCACAAAGCTTTGTTATGGCCTCATGGCACACATGTGTGTGGGTCAGTGTAACAGCCATAGCTTTTTCTCTAATGTTCTTTGAGCCAGGTCTTGCCAACCTGATACCTCCAGATACACTGGCCTACAACTCCTGTGGGGATGATAGTATAGTCTAAGACATCTGGAGGACATCAGGCATGCTAAGGCCTGCTTAAACTGAATAGATATAGTAAACAGAAGTCAGACAGAATTTGGAAACAAAACTGCAAGATCACGCATCCCCTATCAATTCACCAGAACAGGAAATGCTCAGCTATACAAACATTTACATTGAACTGTGGAAATCCTTGTAACTTGACTAAGACTTTAACTAGGAAGTGCCTGGTTAATAATGCTGGATAAGTTGCTGCTCTTCTTTGTAATTAAAACTAGTGATCTCAGTTTCCCTCTTTACTGCCCCTGCAATGCGTACAGGTTAAAATCAGCAGGATTACTAAATCTTAGCATATTTGACTTAGTCACAGACTATGCAAAATTAATCAGGAGAATTTAGCTCCCCTGGATCCTCAAGCTCCATAGGCTAGGAAGAATGCAAAAGAATTGAGCAAGTCTATCTAGTCCAGTAACCTTACAGGAAGTGCAAAGCATCTGTTTATAGCCATTACAATACCCACTCTATTAACGTCTAATGTGCTTTTAAAAATACCTACATGTTGGCTGTCAAAACATGTTGTGAAAATCAATTGCATGGTTTACAGAACTTCATAAGATAACAATGTGGATATTTTAGTTCACTTTCCTCCATTTCCATTTTTTCCATTTATATCCCTTAGACTGCAGAATATTATTACAAACCATATACTGTTTTGGCAGAATGATGGTATATAAATGAAGTATACGCACGCGTGCACGCACGCACGCACACACACACTTATATTTATATATATAAAAAAATAAAAACTGGGACTTAGGAGAATTAATGAAGATGTGAGTTTTTTCCTTAAATGAGCAGGTATAGAAAGTCCCAGGTTATTATGTGACCATTTGAAAGTTAAGGGGACAGAAAAGCCTAGCCCAAAGGTTTCCAAAACTATCTAACAAAATTGTCAAAATACTTAAAACACAGACTGTTAAATTTTATTTTAAAAAACCTTCAGCAATGAACCAAGCATGGTAGATTTCAATTTATCATTTCCCAAAATGAGCCCATTTTAAACATTGACATTAAACGAATGGATAATAATTGTATGCCTCCAATGAGGAACAAAAAACTCACTACCAACTTTAGTTTTCAGTTATGCCAAATTAATGTCATTAATATATACCTGATGCTGCTTGCCAAATTACCTATAATTGAAGTACTGTTATACTGGAAGACCAGAAGGGCAGATCAATGAATACTGATGATGAAAGAAAAACCTGTTCTTTGGTATCTGATATGATCAGCAACAGTAAAAGGGACATATAGATACAACTAAATGAGGTTTTCCTTTTTAAAGCTAATTTCTCAAATGCTTTTAAGTGCTCACTCATATAAAGAGCCTGTCTTTTGAAATCCCAAAAATGTATTCCACCCTTGTGTCTGGGAGTGATTAGAGGAGAAAATATGTACTTAGGGTCAGGTGTTCCAGCCATGGAGCCATGAATACTGCCTTATATCAGTTCAGCTCATTGTCCACCAGCCTAGCATTGTGTACTTTATCTGACAGTGACTCTCCATGGTCTCAGGTAAAGGTCCTTCCCAATCTTGAAATCCAGGATTCCTTGAGTATCAGCTTATTGTTTGTCTCTCTTCAGTTGGCACTTGTGTTTGCCACTGCTGATTGTTTTGTGTGAATAGGGAAATGGCATGAAATGAACAGCTATCAATCATAAAACCTGTACAAAAAATACCAATTTTGCATGAATTTCCCCATGGGCTAACCATGGGTGATCTGGAATGTGTGCATCCTGAGAGAGTTTTACATCTTGAACAGGTTGCACATTTTTCAAATACACATTTTGTCAACAAGGAATCTTTGAACATTTTTTGAGAAAATGTGCTTCTTTCTGTGTTCAAGATCATGAACTGTGCATTACCAAAGGATATGCAAACTGAAACATAACTTCTAAACATCCCTATGATTGTTAATGTCTGAAAATCACATGGGTCTTCTTTTGCAGTCCATCTAATAATTGAAAGTCCAATGTATTGTCATAAGCTCAGTTCAATTATGACTGAAAGAGATCTCTAGACTCTGAAGAAGTCTTTTTAATTCTTGAAGCAAAGAAAATTCTTGACTCACCAGTCATTCTTCTGCTTCGTTCAGCATCTGAATCATTGGAATGCCTACGTGGCACACAAAAGAGGCATAATCATTAATTCTGATTAGTGCCTCTTGTTTGCTACACACATTCTGAGATAATTTAGACAACACAACCTCAACCTGATAAAGTGTGGTCTATCAACCTGAGAACAGATACTGTGACTACAAACTGCACCTTGCTCATGCCACACAAAACACTTTTGACACTTTTATTGTAGGTTGTTTAAAGAATATTCCCTGTTGCATCTGAAACTGGGAAAAGTCAGGTTGCATACCTGTGATTGTTGTCCTTTGAGTGCTCATCTGTGCATCCACACACAGCAGGTGCTGCGCCTGCACAGTGCCTATGTTAGGGAAGATTCCTCGAGCTAAGCCGACAAATTTTGGTGGGCTCCACCATTTATAAGCAGGCGGGATCCTGCCATTTTCTCAGTCCAACTGGGGACCAACATTTGCCCTCCCTATTGGATCCTGACTGATCTATAGCTATGTAGGTAACAGGTAAAAAAGAGAGAAACATCCACTGACACCAATGTAGGGCCAGTGGGTGGGTAGTATGAATCTACAGATGACCACTCGAAGGGCAACAGTTACAGGTATGCAATCTGACTCCCTTTGTCATGGCCTCTGTGCATCACACAGATGGGTGATTAGCAAGCATACCCTTAAAGGAGGTGGGAGATGTTGTAACAGGAGGATAGAGGACAACACAGCCCAACCAAAAGAACAGTCCTGTCTGGCTCTCACATTGAGCTGATAGAGATGGATGAACATGGATGGTGCTGACCATGTAGCTGCTCTAGACGTGTTCAGTGATAGTCCAGCATGGAGGGCTGTTGATGTTGATATCACCCTGGTGGAATGAGACCTAGGGCGATCTGGCAAGTCGAAGTCCACTAGCTGCTATGCTGATTTAATTGTCTCCACAAACCAGTGCGCAAGATGCTGGGGTCTGACTGGTTTGCCTTTGGAGTGGTCTGCATGTTTGACCAAGTTGTTTTGCTTTGCAAAGCGACTCAGTTCGGGACTTATAGAAGGCTAGCGTGCAATGTATGTCAAGCATATGCAGAGCCCTTTCAATGTCCGTAGATAGTGGTGGGTAAAATGCGGGAAAAGCAGGTTGCTTACCTGTAACTGATGTTCTTCGAGTGGCCATCTATGCATTCACACATATGGGTGCTGCGCCTGCGCGGTGCCTAGGCCGGAAGATTAGAAAGCTAACGGTTTTTGGCGGGAAAACTCCGCTTCCCTCCCCCTTCGTGGTCTAAATAGAGCGGAGTGTCCGCCATTTTACTCAGTCTTGAAGACCGCACGTTCGCCCTCTAGAGGTTAAGAATAAAAGTAATGAGAAGCACAATTACATCCCAATGGTACCGCTGTGAATTATCGTACGGTACCGAGAACAATATCCAGTCAGCGACATATCCCAATGGTACCAATGCAAATTATAGTATGGTACCAAGAACATCAGTTACAGGTAAGCAACCTGCTTTTCTTCGACGTGGCCTCTGTGCATCACACATATGGGTGATTCGCAAGCTTAGCAAAGTCGGAGGAGGGAGGTGTCGTCAGAGAAGAACGGATGAGAGAACAACTCTACCGAAAGAGCAGTCTTGTCTGGCACGTACATCAAGCCGGCAGTGCTTGGCCAAAGTACATGGACCAGCCCAAGCCGCAGCTTTGCAGATATCTTGCAGCGAAACCCCTGCGGCAAATGCGGACGAAGTCGCTACTGCTCGTGTAGAATGGCCTCTTCGAAAGACAGGTAAGTCTATTTTCGATAGCTGATAAGCCAGGACAATAGTCTGGACGATCCAATTAGAGAGTCTCTGAGATGATATTGGTGATCCCTTGTCACGCTCGGAGTATTTAACAAAAAGTTTATTAGTAGTACGGAAAGATTCAGTGTGGGATCTGTAAAAGGCCAAACAATGGTGAACATCAAGCGTGTGTAGAGCACATTCTATCGGAGTCAACAGCGATGGAAAGAACGCTGGCAGAATGATGTCCTGACTCAGGTGGAACGGTGTGGCCACCTTGGGTAGAAAGGAGAAATCCATTTGGAGGATGGCTTTTTCCTTATGGAAATTCAGAAATGGTAGATCTATGCGGAGAGCACAAATTTCGCTAGCTCTCCGTGCTGATGTTACTGCTACAAGAAAAGCAGTCTTCCATGACACCAGGCGTAAATCCACAGTTGCCAAGGGTTCGAAGGGTGGTTTGGTAAGTGCTTGGAGCACTACGGAAAGACTCCACGTTGGCATGGCAGGGCAAATAGACGGATGTAAATTTTGTAGTCCCCTAATGAAACGCCAAACCAGCGGTTGAGAGAAGACTGATAAACCGTGGATAGTGCCACGATAATGGGATATAGTGGCTGCATAAACTTTGATAGATGATGGTTTGCGTCCCTCATGATGCAATTGTAAGAAAAATGGTAAGATATTGGTGACTGAAGCCGTTCCAGGAGAAAAAGAATGGCACTCTGCAAAAGAGGAGAATCTTTTCCATTTAGCCGCATAGGAATGACGAGTGGACGGTCTCAATGCAGATTCGAGAATCTCCTGAATTTCCCGGTCCGTGGGCATCGGTATCGTGGCAATTGCTGTCGAATCCGAAGTCGGGGCCATATGCACCACCTGTTGAGTAAAGTCATCCGTAGGGTGAGGTGTCGCCGGTACCGACTCAGTGGCGTAAATCAGGCGATCCACCATGCCGTCAGCCTCAGAGAGAGTATATCCGGATGACGGATTGCTCCTCCTTGTTGCGTTAACACATGCGTGAGAGTTGCCTGATGAATGAACGTTCCTCTGGACAGCAGCAAGAGAGTGGCAAACCAAGGTTGTCTCGGCCACCACGGAGTACCAGTATCCCTGTGGCATTGTCCTGAGCTATTTTCGATTTGGCAGTCAAAAGCGAATGGCAGTCAAAAGCGAACTGAGAAAATGGTGGGAGCCCACCTATTTATACAATGGGGAAGGGAGGGTGGATCTCCTGCCAAAATGTCTAGGTTTAGCTAGAGGAATCTTCCTGAACACAGGGGCTGCTGCACCTGCACAGTGCCTATGTGTGATGCACAGAGACCATGATGAAGAACTGTTGTTTCATCATGGCTTACTCACTGGAATACAAAACGTAAGTATCAGCTGATATTACTAAGTCATGGTGTGTTAAGTTAAAACAGTCAAAGCCAAGCTTGAATACACTCATGCCCAGCATAAATGAACAATACATGCCGATCCATCCTACTCTTAAAAGGATACCATTAATTAAGCATTCAAACTGATACTTGACAGGATACTGGAAATAGCTTAGTATTCTAGTTACACAGTGGCTGTGCTGAATTCTACCTTCATGAACATGAAGAACATGGAATGTACCTATAGAATCTACTGGTTTATTTAGCCAATTTCACCCATAACTATCAGGGTAAGTAAAAGCTTCTGACATGAAAGGCACTTGCATGCATATACAAGAACTAGTCATTGAAAAGTGCGGGTCTAGCTCAGAGGCAGAACACATGCTTTGCATGCTGATGCTTCCAAGGCTGATCACCAGCATCCTTAGGGGTCAGAAAAATCCCACCTGAAACCCAGACAGCTGTTGCCAGTCAGTGTCAACAATACTGGGCTAGATGGAAAATTTTCCCACCGGTATAAGGCAGCTTCCTATATGCCTATGTAAAAGCAGTGCAAGTAAATACAGCTTTTTTGGGAATGAAATGTTCAAATTGTTAAATCTAGGCAGACAATTGCCAAGAAAAGTATCTTTCCTACATATCCTTGAGTGGTTTTGATGGATGCATGGAATGGACCAGAAGTACGTTCAACAGTTTAGAAACATATGAAGCTGCCTGCCAGTATTCATGTGTTTCATAGCTGCCTATGAAACATATGAATACTGAACCATTGATCCCTTGAGTTCAGTATTATCAACCCCAATAACACAAGTGAAATTACCAAGATTTCAGAAAGCCATCTTCAGTCCTACCAGGAAATTCGGGAACACAACAGGACAGATGATTCCATGAGGTATAATCTTAGGTATTCTTCACTAGCCCTCCACCCATTCAATATCCTCCAAATTAAGTCAATTTGAATACAGTTGCTTAATTTATTGCACTTCCATTAGAGTTTGGATAGAATGTGTGTGGGATTTTTGTTTTTTGTAAGAGACAGAGGAAAACTAGATAAGTCCTTGAAGCACCCTATCTATTGAAGCTATTGATATAGTAATAGGGTTTGGATGGGGTTTTTTGTAAGTTTTATATAGCCACTTTTAAAGATTACGACCACACTGATTCCACATAGGACATACATTTTAGGATTCATGAATACTAATTTCTAGTGTAATATGTTATATCTGAGAAAACAGGGTATGTGGAAATCCAGTGAGATTAACTTTCTTCTGTAATTGTATTTACCTTTTTAATCTCAGGAGGTACATAGTAACCCAGCTGGAAAAGTCCTTGTGGTTAGCCAAATCTTGCAAAGCCCAAAATTCCTATATGGAAACAATTAATTGCATGGGTTACTTAAAATATTCATATTAATTATACTGAAACCATAAAGCAGCCTTCCTCAACCTGGTGACCTCCAGATGCCTTGGACTACAACTTCCATTATCCCCATCCAGCATGGCATTAACACATCCCAGAGACATCACATTTCCCAACATAAATTCTAAAGAAGACATTAGATCTCAATTAGGAAACCACAAGAAAAGCAGAAAACTAAGCTATTTATTTGCTTCCTTAGGGCTTGGAACTTTGGTCTGAATTTGTACTATAACCTTGGGGTTAGCCAGAAACAGCAAACACACTGGCAAAAATCATTTCTCAGAACAAGAGCTTGGAAGCATGCCCATAAGTGGAAGGGAAGTCTATAAGTTTATTATTTCAGGCTATACATATGGAAAAATGCTTGTTTGGCAGTAATTCCTGCACAGATGATGAGCTTATTTATGATTCCTGCAAGATTTGTGATAAATTCTTCGATTCTCTCTGGAAAGAAATGAGAACACAATTTGGCAATGGAAAATTATTTGCACAGAAACAGGGGTATCATTTTAACAATGCAGAATATCTGATCTGAGCTCCAATTTTAATGCCATGGGAAAGTAAGTTTCTTCAATTGATCAAAAAGAACATCTAAATAAAATGCTCTTACCTGATAACAAACATGTTGGCTTTATATAAATGTGGTATTTTAGCACTTTTGCATACTGCAAAGATTTAATTTCAGGCATACACAAATTTGAATACACTGATTATATTTAGAAAACTAAGTATTGGGAAAACATGTCACCTAACAGTCCGTAAGAGTCCAGAATTCCCTTTTATGGTCAAATAACTAGTTCTCAAAAGCCAGTGATTGTCAAATCATTGCTAATCCTAGCAATATGCATCATGTCTTCTAGCTTGGAGGGGGATGCACAGATTTGCTTGAACAAGGCCACTGGAATTATGACAGGGTAAGTCAACCTTTCCCAATCTTGTCACCTCCAGATGTTTGCACTACATCTCCCATGCTGGCTGAAGCTGATGGAAGTTAAAGTCCCATCACATATGAAAGGTACCAGGTTTGGGAAGACTGGGGTGAGACAAATTCATAATAAGTTTGTTAATGGAAACAAGATACCAGGTTATGACATCACAACAGATTAATAAAGAAAAATTCTCAGATGCTTAGGATTTCTGAAGTTGTTGACATGCAGCTGCTCTTATTGCAAATAATATTTTTCCACTGTTAAGCTCTTGTCTTGGAAACTTATCAGATTCCTTCATGCTTTGGTGCCATGGAAACAGAGAACGAAAAAGAGCCACAATGGAACTGGCAGCTGTTTTATTCAGCGACTCTTTTCTTCCAAAAACAAACAAAACTCAGTATTCAACTTGTCCTGTTTTCAGGTTCTGTACATCATTTCAATTTTAATCCAGGACCAATCCTACTTTCATAATTTGAATTTAATCTTAGCAGAATTCTTAACATAATGCCATTTAAACATAATTCACAGTACTCCTCCTATGCAATGCATCAGTACCTTAGGAACACTGAGATCCTTCAGCTGGCCTTCTGAAATCTCGCTGAGCTGCCGAAAAGTCATTGTAAAATCCACCTTTGTATCTTCCATGAGCTAATAAACATTACCAGATTTTTGTATCACCCATTGGTATTCTGTGAAACTGCAGTTCAAATATTTAACCAAAGAAAGAAACTCACTTTTAGGAGGAATGCAATCAAATAGTTATCATCCTCACAATCGCCTAGGAGACCTAATTTTGCTTTGAATAGTTCTGTAAAGCTGAGAGTTAATAAAACAAATATATTAATACGGAAAATGTCTTGGAAATATTTCAAATGTACATTCTTTGTTTTAAAAAAAGTTCTAATGATTACATACCTTTTATAAAACTGCTCAGGATATTCCTCAAGTAACTGAGAAGCCCTATGAAGACAAGATGTGAAATACTACAGCAAAAAACTTGTGCCAAACTCACAGATCACTGACCTGTTTTGCTGTTCTAAACAAATCACAAGTGTTATATTTTTCGTCCAAAGTGAAATACTACCCTTTGCCACTAAATGCTGCTCCTTTCTTTGCATATTTTCTCTGCAGTAAAGTAGATACTTTCACATTTAATGGTTTTTGCCAACAAAATGTTGAGATCCAGCAAGATCCACCACAAGTAATTCAGTAATGCCCAAAACAGTGTTGTTTGCCCCCATTAGTATGAATCATACCAGCTTTGGAGCTGAGCCTATTCACTAATAGAAGCCATACTGCAAGATGGATTTAACACTGCACTGAGGTGAGACTGAGTGTTAGGCATACACGCTGCTGGCTAACCTTCTTGTGTGCCTGCTTCAGCACATCATTTCTGTGGGTCAAAATCCAGGTTAGCAAACGGATATTATACCGTAGTTTCCTATTTTGGGCAGAAACTCTGGTTTACAATGACCAAGAGTGAAGTTGGCAAGGACAGGACCCACAGCCCTGATGCTCTCGCTTGGCTTGCCCTTTAACTCTGACTTATATATAACTACTTTATAATCCACCTCAAGATTTCTATACACACAGCTTATCAGCCATATTTGGCCAATATCACCAAATCATAGAATTGCTGAAAGGTGCCAGAAGGCCATCAGGTCCAACCCCTTGCTCAGCACAGGACTCCATGTTAAACCATCCTAGATGGCTGTCATATAAAAATACATTTCTGCAAAATCCCATTCTCTTTCTCTCTCTCTGCAAACAAAATTCTTTCTTCCAAAGAACTATCCTTCTCTTCTGCACATATGGTCATTAAAGCATGTCTCATCTCACCAGCTTTTTAAAGTGTGAAGACATTTTAAAGGATTACTTACAGCTGCTTTTGTCTGGGATCCAATAAAGGGTTTAGAGCCTGTAACAGCTTGTTCAGATTAAACATCCCAACATTTGCCTGGTTTCCTATTTTATACCGTCTTTCATCATCAGACGTGTTTGGGACAAAGTCTGAAACAAAATGGTATTTTTTGCACTACAGAGTATTCAGAATAAACAACCAATCTTAAAATATTTAAGTATGTTCATTTTTCATGTTGATTCAAACTGACAGATGTCCTTTAGGCACTAAAATATTTTACCCGGAATTCTCTAAACACGAGAATATTTGTTTATTCTCAATTAGGCAAGGGTCTAATATTTGCCAAAGAAAAGCATACATTTTTAGGATACGAGTTTACAGATGGTAGTGTGTTATTTTCTTATTTCCAATGCAAAGCAATTTCAGATGCTTACCACAATTTGTCCATATATTATCAGTGTTACTGGGCAAAAATAGGCTCATTATGTATAATCCGACAATATTCCACAGAATTACAGAAATTACAGCACTGCCAGGGACTGGGCAGCAGCACAGTGCAGACATCTCTACCAACAGGTTGAGAGGTCAATAGTGGGCAGGCATGTGCAGTCCCTCCAAGGTGCTACAGGTCATTTCAAACGGGCAGGTGAAGGCCAGCTTTCCAGTCTGCTTTTGCTCTCCAGGTGAAGGCCAGCTCTCCAGTCTGCTGTTTTTCTGAAAAACAAATTTTCTGCTGCAGCAAACTAAAATCAGTTCACAGTGCTGGCTGTCAGAGAGAGGACATTCATTCCTCCTCACAGTGTTCCCAAGATATCGCCTGGAGGAACAAAGGACGAGGAAGAGGAGGGAGGGCAATACCTACAGTGGGTTTCCACACATTTTTAGCTTTTATGACTGCACAGAAAAGAGAGAAATAGGATGGCAGCTTCTGATGGCAGATTCAGCAACCAGAAGGCTTCCAGTAAAACACAGGAAATTATACCAAATAAGACAATCAGTCCATCTAGCTTAGTAACATCTTTCCCAACTGCCAGCAACTTTCCAGAACACAAGTGCAGAACTTCCTTCGGTCTGTGGATGGAGTTCCATTTCAGAGATGCTGTCAGGGACTGCATTCCAATGGTCCACAGGCCCCAGAGCAAGACGATTCCCCATTCCCATCCCCAGTACAAGCATGTTTTAGCTGAAAACTCTTACTGTTGGCAACTCAACCTTATGAGAGGTTTGTCTGCCTTTCAGAATGGAGCAAAACCTGCCCAAAGCCAGGCACCACCAAATGATTGGTGGCTTGGGAAAGGGATGACGCATTCTCGGGGACTGTGGAGGTTTCAGGTGGGATACCCAGAAGGCGAGATTTGGTCCTGAGACCTGGAGTTCTACACTCCTGTTTTATAATCTGAGACAGGGGTCTTTTGAGTCCTATCTGAAGATACCAAGAATTCAACAAAGGTCTTAAATGTGACCTTCCACTTCAGAGGGAAAACTACATTTGTCTGACAAAAGCTAATAATTTCAGTTTCTATTTTCTCTGAAAGCACAAGCTTACTTTTTATCTTTCTTTTAAAATATCCACAGAATTTGGCAGCTGGCAACAGAGCGCAGCCCAGCTCCCTAAAGGATACATTACTGCCCACCAGCTGCCTTCTGTGCTCTGCTATTAAAAGCTCTCACTGATTTTTATGGTCTAACAAGGAGCTGGATAGAAATGGCAAGAGGTGGAGAAGGAGGGAAATCTTCTGTACCATTGCAGAGGATACAGGGACATGTCTATCAATTTACACAAGGCAGCCAGTTGGGTCAACAGTCGCAGAGTCTGGCCTGGCTACACCTGCTACTTCCCACGCAAGGCAAAAATGAGCCCTTTGGTTCTGCACAGGAAGGACTCACACGCTGCCTCAGACTCAGGCACAAGAAGGACGACCCTAGAGTCACTGAAGATGGCATACTGGAACAGTTTCACTTTGTGCACACTGACTCCCATCCTCACTGGTTGATGTCCCTTTTTGCTATCACTTTGCTGTGGTGACTGGCACATTTCCCGGCCAAGAGACCTCAGAAGAACAGAAAGATAAACTTGGTACACAGACCTCACCTAGTCATTCAAAACAGCACATGGCAAATGTTCATTGCTGACTGGGCTAGTTTAGTGTCTGGAATTGCTTTCATGCCAAGCTCGTTTTGCAGATTTTGGTGTTTTTTTCTGTTGTATCATTGCCATACACTTATTTGATATGCTTATTTGGTTTTACACAGGCTTTTATGATACTCTTATTCCTGTGGATTATTGTTAATTATTGTCATTTATTGTTTTGGTTCTATTGTTATTATTTACATTGGTTGAATTTTATTGGTCATTTAGATGTTTTATGATTGGTGTACTTGTTTTTAAACTGATTGCTGATATTACCATTTTAAATTGATTGTGGTTATTAGATACTGTTTTGCTAAGGTTTTATTGTATAATCATTCTGACAACTCAGAAATCAAAGCAACAATAGAATGCATTGCACAAGCTAAGTGTTGAGATGCATATGTAGCCAAACTGCACAATTTGTTTAGGGTTTAATACTTCATATCCTGGAAATATTAATTCTGCATTATTTATACTTACCGGGGTCATAAGAGTCCATAAACCCAAATGGACCATAATCTATGGTTATGGACAACAGGCTGAAATTATCTGTATTGCACACACCTAAAATTAAGCAACAATGTCAATCAAGCCTGTGGACTGCTGTATTCTAGAAAATGTTAATTTCTCATAAATGAAATACATGTTGAGATTTCTGGCAGGATTAGGGTCTCATTTCATAATTAAGAGTTGATTTACTAAAATAGTATCAGCCTTTATCTTTGGTATCTCATCTATGACCTGCTATAGAAACCATGAACAGACTTGAATGAGACTTCCAGGGCTTGCTTTTCTGGGAGCGGGGATATATACATGCTCACACTGAGAATTCCTCCCCTTCCTCACCAAGATGATACTACTTCATCTTTTCACAATGCAGCTTGAAATGAAAAAAGAAAGATAGCAGTCCATATAGTGTTTTGGGCAGCTGCTATCCAGCATCATGAACCACTTGTGCTTAGCACACACCATTGCAAAGCTTGCAGTGCTAATGGAAGACTTGGATTACTGTCACAGAAACTGGAACAAGGCTATCTGTTTTGGTTCACCAATTTTTTTGCATTTTAAGACAGAGAAATGCATAATATTGACATCATAGCACATGATACCAGCAGAGAGAAAAATCATTTTTTTCTGGATCTCATATAATGTCTGGTTCTGTGCTGAATGAGGAGTAGCATTTATGTAGTGGATCTGAGCAGAAAAGTATTTTTTTTTAAATACTCTAATAGAAAGGTGTTTTTTAATAGCTATGGTTTGTTGTATTTTCTTTAATCACAAACTTAAATTGGATCCAACCTTCTGTACTGGTATATTCAGATTTATTCTTTCAGGCCATGTAAATTGGGGATATGCACATAATGCCTCCTACCCAAACCTAGCATCCTCCAGGTATATCGGACTACAGATCCCACGGTCCACCCCCACACACATACTAAAAACCCTTTAGTAGTGAGGTGCCAAGATGTGGGCTTTGTGTGGGACACTATACCCTACTTGTAGATCACACCACATTTTAACAAAATACATGATCTAATATCCTTCCCACCCAAAAAATACCAAAAATCTTTCTCACCATGAGCAAAGCCTACTGACATCCACAAGGCAATCAAATTTGCAGTTTCAGATACTACTCTGGAGAAAAAGGCCTGCAATCAAACACAGTTTCATCTCCAAATAGGCATGGTGCCACACCGGCAAACATACAATCTGTTTTACAACAGTAATTTGAGAATTTAAGACTAAATCTACAAACAAATTGTGAAATGAAAGCTCCATAATCAGGCTTGTTTTGTGGTTTAAAAATGTTTTATGTATGTTTTCTCTACTGGAGTGAACAGCTTCTGGTAGGTTGGGATGGTAATTTGGGGAAAATAGTGCAGCAGGAAAGAGTTAAAATCTCCTCTTCCCCTGCCCCAGTTTTCAAAGAAGCCTGCTGATTCTGGCTGATTCAGAACAAAACAAAACAAACAGGAAGTTCTGATCACACATCTTGCTCAGCATGGGCCCCACAGCCCCATAGGTAAAGATGGCATCAGTTCAGTGTTCTTTCTATTTTGTTACCAAAGTCATATTAAATAGTTGCAGCAGCCTCAGTGGAGGATGCTACATTGTGTGGCCTTTTTAAAATGGAAAAGGAGGGAGAGACCTGATGCTCGGAAAACAGTGGAATATATATATAGTTCTATTATATAATGAACATGCATAATGTGGTTTAGTAGACAAGGTTCACAGAAACACAAAGCCGTATGACTTACCAGATATCTATTTGAATTATTCATGTTTATGGATGGAAAGTGTTCGTCTATAACAAAGTCTAGCAGCAACCTGTATCACAAATGAAATTATTTTCTATCAAAGACAATTGTGAAAAAACAGTGGAATCTCAGTTCAGTGCCAAGATTGCCTCAGATTGCTGCAAAATTCCGTATTAGATGCTTATGCTTTCTTCAGAAAGTTAAACTGGGCTGTAGGAAACATGCACTCTTTGATCAAGAAGATCTATATGTTTGCAGATAAATTGCAAAATAAGGCCATATTAATTCTTTTCCACATGCACACCTTTCAAATTATAGCTTATCTCTTATTGGGATGGATCACTGGAGTGGTTTTGATTAAAGGGGAAAATCAACACTTGCTTTCCATGAACATAAAACTATAGCTCTGGAAAGCTCCTAAGCACCCGACATTCCAATTGCATAAAAATGCAGTGCTAATGTATAAATATGTAGACACATTTTTAGTTTGTGTAATAGAGAACTGGCCTCCAAAAATCTGATCTCAGCTCTTAGAAATTTAATCATTTCCAGCCATGCACATTGCGCAACCAGATCTACTAGGCCTAAGGAGCTGTGGATTTGTGTTTCTGAAATGCAGCATGACGACAACTGAAACTGTAGCACTCCAAAAGCATTTATTTGCAAAAGCATTCTATAAAATGGAATGATGTGTTGTCTGTGCAAAGAAAAGAAATAGCAGAAATGCCCAATGGATGAGCACAAGCCCTTAGGATATCATCACAAAGACTGACATATCAATGATTTCAGAATTTGTACAGGCATTTGCAGTCATTTCTTATAAGATATGAAAATGGTTTAAAGCAAGAAAGGTTTTATTATTATTCCTTTCCCTTTTGGTAGCTCCCCTTTGTGATGCACATTTTCCATTTACTTTATAATTTTCTGTGCTCACACAGTGAAAATATGACAAGCTGTTAATATTTATAAGGTACTGACATTCTGAAACTTCCAAAATTCGTAAGCCTAATCTTGCAAATGCTTTTGTCAAACATGACTCATGGCAAGCATAGTATCAAACTTGTGCAGTGGCTTATTTTAAAGGAAGAATAGTCCCTGAGACATGTGTTTCCAACAACTAACAGGCATTGCCCCTTGCTGCCATGAGAAAACTGCAAAGGCATTCCATGGTATAGTTATTCCACAATTTTAGATTCCAGCAATAAAAGCAGATATAATAAAATAAGACTTTAATTCTAACCTTAACAAATCCAGTTCTCCAGAATGAGCTAATATTTCTAATGATCCTATTCGAAACCATGATTTGGCAACACGTAAGACTATTGCACCTGAAACAGAAGTGTATGAACATTCATAAATACACACCTGTGATCCAGAACTGTGTGCATGCTTTTGTGTGCACACAGAACCCTCCATTTATAGACCACCACCCCAACACACTCCAATGGAGGGGCAGATTTTCATGGGTAATGGAATATACATGTAAATATGTTTCCTCCATGGATTGGGGGGCGGGGGGGGGAGTTTGCTGCATCATTGTTATGATAGGCAACATTCAGCAAATCTAGAAACAAAACATCAATTTTTCAGTATTACTCTAGCAACTGAAGGCATGTTCTACATGTCTTGAATGGTCAGAGGAAATGAGCAAATGATCTTATTAAAAGGGATTAGCCAAATCTATGGAGTATAGGTCTGCTGATGCCTGTTAGCCACACATGCAATATGGTACCTCAATGTTCAGAGGCATTATGCTGTTAAATAATGCTGGTGGTTGCACAGTGTGAGATCACAGACCTTTGCTCTGGTCTACTAAGGCTTTCAGCCCAGTCATCCTACATATGCCTCCTGAAGGTTTTCTTAGGGTGACATTTGTAAGAGAACAGCACTGAGCCATCAGTAAGAACCCAAAAAACAAAACAGCTAAAATCCATGAAATGGAAGCTGAACATATCAAAATACTTCAGGAAACAGCCCACAATATGATACCAAATGAGGAAGGCTAAAGAAAAAAGGCAAAAAAGTTCAAGCCTACACCTGTTCATATCCCAGCCGCTAAGTCAATATTATGCTTAACTCTAGCTTTCCAACTCTGATTAGAACAACATTTAAGCTTAAGAAAATGTCATGTCTTGACATTCTGGAAACAGATAATATGTACCTAATGCTACCCTGAAGTATTATGTATCTGAAGGCACATCCCAGAGGCACTTCCCTTATCACCCCAGGAACAACCTGTTAGCACTGACCTAACTCTAACAAAGTCAGCAGTACATAGAAACATAGAAACAGAGCGAGTCAGAAGGGGCCTCCCGAGCCATCTAGTCTGACCTCCGCCACCAGCCAGCTCCACTCACGACATGCCCACCATGTGGACGTCCAGCCTATCCTTGAACACCTGCACCGATGGGGCCTCAACAACCTCCCGTGGAAGCCCATTCCACACCCTCAGGGTCCTAACTGTCAGAAGTGCTTCCTGGCATCCAAACGGAACCTTGGCTCCCTGAGCTTTGCTCCGTTGGAGCGCGTTCTGCCTTCCTCTGCAGGGGAGAACAGGTCTCTACCCATCTCCATGTGACATCCCCTCACATACCTGTATGTCGCCACTGATCAGTACAACCCCTTGCGCTCTGAATATGATGAACCGATTTGGATTTGTAATCTTTATGGAAACACCCCTGCTCCCAGAAAACAGAATGTGTGTGAGCATGATTTTTTAAAAAAATAACTAAAGAGTCACAGTATCACAGAAGAGTTATCTGAAATTCAGCAGTTACCTCTTTCCTTCTTAATGTTCCCATTGTAGAACCGATCTCTCCAAACAACATCATCACTTACAACTAAGCTGTGCAAAAAGAGGAATTGAGTAGTTAATTAAGAAAGAAGAAAATGATAGATTGAGGGAAAATGCTAGTCACACAGCTGCTGCTTTTTCTAGCCCATGATGATTTTAGTCTCTGATTACCCATGGCTGAGTCAGACAGAACCGATACTGTCATCTCTCTGTACGTGTACATTCTGTCTAACCAGTTAAAATATAAGCAAGCCTAACAGAGCAGCTGCAGGGTAGTATGGACGAAAAGACTTGTCTCTAGGACCTTTGCCAGTTTCCTTTATTTCAGTCAGGCTCCCCACTTTCAGGGCCAAGAGCAAGTCTGTCAAGGAAATGAGATTAGGACGATACATGAAGAAGATTATTTCTTTCTCAGATCAAAAGCCTGGACTACTAAGAATGACAGCATACTCAGCTTGACCATTTAGAGGAGGAACTATGTTGCATGGAAATGTGTTCCTTTTTCTATAAATGGGAAGAGGCCACACAAAAAATGGCAGGAGGAAAGTGATCAACTCCACTCCACCTCCATAGTCTTAGATGCATGTTTGCAAGGTCAGTACATATCTGGAATTTGGGAAAGTGCAGTGGAAATGGAAATGGGAAAAAGGGTGAGCAGAAGCAGTGGTAAGCAGCCTTCACCACTTCTCTCCTCAAAATTGCTCCTTCTAAATCTGTTTGGATTTAATATAAACCATTGAGGATTTGCTGCACTTGTTTCCATGAAGTTCAGGCATAAGTCAACAATTTCACCCCAAGGAATGTATGCGAGTGTGTGTGAGCCACACACATGCATACACACTCTTTTACCAATTTGGACATTTCATGCCTACTCAAAACAAAAACAAAACAGGCCAACAACTTTCAGGCACTTATATTTTAAATGTCTTTACATCACCTTATTTTGTTAAGTGCTGACTGGAAATAAAAATGGGGATTTTCTGTTTACATCTAAAGAAATGCTTGTTCCTTTGGTCTTTCTTTGGTTCACTTTTCTCTCTCTCCCCCTCCCCTCTCTTTATTCCAGTCTTCTTGCAGCTCAGTTGAGCTCAGCTGGTGGAAAAGTGAGTTCAGACTGTTCAATTTGCAGGCAAGGGCTGTATGTAGCCCATGGCTCATGTAACACTGATGTAGCACCTTAGTTTTAAGTGATATCCCTTATACCAGGTCATAGTTGCAATCAGATGAAGGCCGTGTTGCTGCAGCACATCTTCCTGCCTGATCTGCTTCTCAAAACTGATCAGGCAGAGCAACGGGCTGAGCATAAGGCTGAATAAACAGGAAGGTACAAGGAAATTTAAATGCACTTGCTCTCCTGCTGCAGCTACTGAACTGGTCTAAAAGAACTCGGTGATGAAATGAAATGGAGAGCCTATAAACCCTAAGCCACTCCACAGCAACTAACTGTGCAAGAATTCAGCCAGATGTTTGTTGTTCATGGAGACTCAGTTGGCTTGCCAAGCAGATTTGCAGAGAGCTCCTGCCAAAATGTGAGGCACCAACCACTGGTTTCTATCATGTTTGCTGTTCAGAAGACCTTTAGAGACTCCAGCAAACTTCCAGTCACTTAGGTGCTATTCAAAACAGATGTTATTATGTACATGTGATAAGCCAGAAATATTTCTATTTAGTGGCTAAGAAGCAACTATTCATCTGAAAATGTGGTGAAAAGCTGAAGTGACAGCGATGTGGGGGTGAGTATCTTTTTGTTCTGAAAGGCACAGTTTGTACAAGTATTTACAGAAAACACCATGGGACTGGTGAAACATTTCTTTGTAGAGAGCAAAGTCTTAACAGAAAAATCCTTAAAACTCCCTTGGGGAAAATACCAACATGTTTTTTTCTTGTTTGTTTAGTAGAGTAAGAATATCTGATCTACTGAAACCCTACTCAGGCATGAAGAACAGGAAAAAATAATTCTATAAAATCAATTATTCATGCACTGATTATTTCAAAACTGTACTGTAAGAGGGACAGTGTGGCACAGAGGTTACAGTGTTGGACTGGGACTCGGATGATCCATGCTCTACTCTCCACTCTGTCATGGAGCTCATTAGGTAACTTTGGGCCAGCCATGGACCGACAGGGTTGCAAGGATAAAACGGAAAAGAGGAAAACCTTGTAAACTGCCTTGGTACCTTGCAAGAGGAAGAAAGGTGAGGTATAAATATAATATTATAACAAAAATAATAATATGCTGTAAGTTGGCTTTGAATATGACCTTGAAATTCCAGCTGGTTTAGAACATGGTCTTTTCTATCCCTGTCAAGGCTAGACAGTCGGATCATAGTCACCAACCTCGTACCATTGCACTGGTTGCCAATTAGGTTCTGGGTCCAGTTCAAAGTGGTAGTTTTGAACTCTACTAACTTTCTGTACAGTATTTCAAAATGAAAGTCTTTAAACTGGAACATGCCAGATAAAAAATAATGTTCTCTTCTAGCATCACTCTGTGACTAGAGCTTTCTGTTAGAAAGTGAAGCATACAGAGTGAATGGAATAGACCCATCTGCATGCTATTCTTAGATAAATTATATGTGCTTTCTTCTTATATGTGCTTGCCAAGACTCAGCAAGACCTTCGTGAATGTACTGTAACAATACAGATACAAAAGCTTCCCATCAGGAACAATTAAGCTATCAGCTGGAGTTCTTTCAGTTAAGTATTTATAAAAAGAAGCTGGAAAGATTTCTAGTGTACTGTACTGCATATGTGGCCATGTCAACCCAGCAAGGGATTCAAAACAGTATGTCAGATACAGAAGCCAAAAAATCACCTTTGGTATACAAAGTTCCAAGCTCAGTCTTTGCAATGAACAAGATGTCACAGCAAGGGGAGTCATAACACTGCTATAAATTTTCATGTATGTGTAGACAGTCCTATGGATTTTGTTATCAGCTGAAGATCCTAGGAGACCTTTTGTGGAAGCAACTGAGCAGACTTTCCAATAAGTCACTTCTAAAGGGTGTATTAAAATAACAAATGTTGCTTTTCCAACTAATGTTGGAGGTATAATATCTGGCCAACACCAAAATCTGTATAAACAGGCAGAAAGGACTCTTTGCACAATCATACCCAGAATGCCCACATTACATTTCAGCCATTCAGCAAGCACACGTTTACTTCTTAGCAATACTAGCAAGGTTTTTCATAAAGATCTAACAAGTGTAAGTGTATGTGTAATAGCGGAGTTACAGGAAAACAGCTTGGTGGTTTGTTCTCCTTATTTCCCCCATTCCTTTAAATGATATTACGTTCACAAAAAACGGATGTATAGCAGTTCACCAGAAATTCCATACAATACCTGGCAGGAGACCACAATGCTCATACAATACATTTCATATGTATAAGAACAGAAAGGGAGATGTATTGGATTTCCCAGGTCAGTGTACAGTGCTTTGACTTGTGGGATATTCCCAGGGCAAAAATGCTGCCTTTAGGGAAGGCGTAGAAATCATACATTTCAAATTAATATAAGTGCACTCTTCTTTCACTTTAAAAAACACTCCCCCATCCCCAAGATTGTGGGGAATGATTCCTAATGCAGTATCATGTTTTCTGTTGCTGTACTGTATCAGGGAGTATGCATGGCAAGACAGCACATTATGGGTCAATTTATCTTAGAAGAGTTGCAGTGCATGCAAGCCACCATTTTGAACGTGTGAGTTCTAACTGGGTGTTGCCATGGCCTATCATTTCATGAGAGTCTGGACTGCAGGGTTAAACAGGATTATATGATCCTGGTCAGGGCTTGCACAGTCATAATGGCAGCTGGTATTTGCCACAGTTAATTGTCAGTAAGTTAACTATCATCTCATAGGAACCAAGTCACTATGTGCCTCAAAAAGCAAAACCTTACATGGTACAACAGTGAAGGATATTGCTGAGCAGGCCATTAAGACTGGTGATAGGTAGGCAGACGGGAAGAGGATGAACCATAATTTTCAAGAAGAAAGAGAAACCTGTTCTCCAGCATAATCGATACACTCTCCAAGTTTGGCATAATAAAAAGTTGTAAATTTACAAAGAGTTTGATTTGCAGTGCCCACCTCTGATCTTAGCTTATAAGCAAAGTCCTTGGGATGGGCAGATAAGGCAACAGAGAAGTAGGGGGAAAATCACTGGTAGAGTTTGGAATCAGTAGGGAATTCAGGCACTGTGGAAATTTAGTACCAAAGTAATGAGCCATATTCTAGGAAAGACTTCAGCTATCTATGTGCCCCAGGTGTGAATCTCCATTTGCAATCAGAACTGCAAGTTAGTTTGGAAAATATATGCACCTGTGTTTTCTTAGGTAACCGGAACACAGAAGCAAAGAAGAAATGCTTTTGTAGGGGAAAATAAGTGAGCAGAAGGAGATGCTTAATTCTTCCTGTGCCCACTAATTAATCCTGGCAAATCTCAATTCCCACTAACTGCCACCCAAAGGGCATTTTACCCCAAGCATGTTTCTTTCTAGCTGCAAAATCTAGCTGGGAGAAGCATGGGCTAAAGCAATTACTCAGGGAATAACTTTTGCAGAGGAGAACTGGCAGGATTAAACCCTTCCCTTCCATCTTCTCTGCAATTGCATCTACTTATTTAACAAGTTATTATTTAACAAGCCTGTTAGCATTACAAAACAAACACAGACTTAGGGTTGCCTTATAGCATAACATACGGTCTTAACAGTTTTAACACAAATACAATGGGTAGCAACCTATTGGGTGTTCATGGCACTCACTGTTTGTGCAATGGGGCCATTGTATGTCTAAGTTTCTGATAGTATCTGTTTATTTTCAGAAATGTAAAAGTTTCATTGTGTAAGTGGTAGGTCCTGTGAAGGCGGTGGAACCGGCAGAGATAGACCTGTCCCAGTGCATACTGCACACCGATAGGGACTACCCCAAAAAAGTTAGCAAGAACCAACTGAAGAAGTGCTTTTGTATCTTTCTCCTATTGGCCTTGGTTGAATTAAGTAAGAATAAGATATACATTGACCTATGAAAAAATGATAAATTACCTAGCTGCTCTGCTTGTAGGAATCCCCAGATAATGCATGGCTTCGCTTCCCAAGAATTCTCGAACAGAAGAGTGAAGCACAGCTCTGCCATCCCCATTTCTAAGGAAAAGAAAGCAAGAATCCAAACATAATTAGTAAAATAAAAAAAAATACTAAACTGCTGTCTGGATTAATAGGAATTTATGGTATAGGAATCTGAACTTTGCAAATCCCTATATGAAATCACATACCCATGGATTTCACACTTCTCTGAATGTTGCAGTGCAGCCCTCAAATTTCAACTAATCAGAATCTAAATTTAATATTTTGCCAGAAAGCACATTAAAAAATACATACTTCAAAAATGCAGAAACTGAATGGAATTATGGGTAACCACATGCCAAAGTGACATGAACCAGAATCATACTGGTTTGCCCATACTTATTCTGATGCATGGACTGGCATTACAATAACTGAGAGGTCCTTATTTGCCAGGAATTAGCCTACAGGCCACAGGCAGCAACCCAGAGTTCCCTGTCCAAGCTACATAAAAGCTTGTTTGCGCTAAGCTCCATTCAATGATGTTTCTACAGATACCACTGTGATCAAAAATAAGAGAGTATTTGAAGGTTGTTGAACTTTAAATACCTTACATAGAACTGAGGTGTACATTTTGCTGACATGAGAATTGCTGCGTGGGGCTTACTCCTGAGTAAACCTGCTTAGAATTGAGCTGTGCTTTCACAAGCATGACTTGCTCAGAGTTGGTCTGTGTTTTGAAGTCCACAAAGCTGTTGCATGTTTCTGAATAGGCATGCATAAAACTGAATTGTTTTGCATGCTTCCAGGAAAATTAATAAGTGTTACACCTTTTGTCCTTGGCCCTGTAGTCCCACCGCTGATGTAATACCACCCCAGTTTTCACTGGCAATGTGGAACCAAACAACTGAAAAGTCCAGGCTACTCCAAGATGAATCCATTAATGCACAAGACAGTGTGCTACACCCAAAGAACATGATCTACCACGCATGTTTGCAGAGCAGATAGCATGCTAGTTCTGTTGCAGTGGAATCCTACCCATGTCCAGGGTGAAAGTCTTGCAACTCATAGCATGAGCCAGCTAGCATGACTGGGGCACAATGGGAATTGTAGGATCTTTTTTCTGGCTACACATGTGAGGGAGTCATCCCTGTTTTTTCACTGAAGACAGATTTCTCTGTGTGTATACATCTATTTGAGTTTATTTGAGTATTTTTTTAAATTGCTTGTTTAGCAGCAGAAAAGTGGATCTCAGGAAAACCTGAAATGCTAAACGAGTTTATCAGGTATACCAACCTTTATCAATTACTGTTTAATTTAGACATGGTAGACTTTTTCCCCCTAGAAAGACATATTTGGAAGCCTTTCCTCTTGAATATGCACTATATTAAACCAGCAAATTAAATATTTCAACAGAGCATTGTTTCTATTAGAAAACAGCAGTTTTGGTTTTTAAATTGCTGAGCAAACTTATTATTCAGAAAAGCATTTTCTGAGATCAAATATTTGTTTGGAGTTTTTATATGCCGTCCCAGTCGCATAGGCCTCGGGACGGCTTCCGACATAATAAACAATTGTACATATAAAATATAAAATATAAAATCTGGATTCACCCTGGCTATAAAAATTAAAACCAATAAATATTAACAATTATTAAAATATTGTTTGAATAAAAAGGTCTTGGCCTGGCGCTGAAAAACAAATGATGACGGCGTCAGGCAGATATTATGTGATCTCCTTAGAGTTCTATACCATAAAGGAATAACTTGGCTTCTAACATTTTTAAAACTGAAAGAACCCACATACTTAGTCCAAACATTCAGGACTCCTACAGTTCATCTGTCAGAATAATAGCTTTAGCATTTTTTCTGACTCCAAATTCAAGACATTAAGGTTTTTCCTCCCAGAAATTACTGGCCAAGGTATATTCTTTCCAGCTATGGTAGTTAATAACCATTGGCAGACCTACCATCCAATGGCATATCAAGTCCTTTTAAACAGGCTGTCAAAACACGTGGTAAAATTCCATAAACTCTTATGACTCAAGCAAATGAGTGCTATATGTTACAGTGGAAAGGAAACTCAGCTGGCTCACACAAATTTTTCTGTGAGCTGAGCCTAGATTTCTGAATGGAATGACTCATTACAGGTTTAGATGTGTTATGGAAGCTAATCTGAAAGCCATCAAGGATACGCAGTACTACACTGAACATGTAACAAACCTGGAGTACACTGTTCTTCCCGAACCTTTCAGCTGCAATTCCCATCTGTCACCAAACCTGCAAAAACAATATTAATATTAAGCATTTGAGCTAGGAAATTTTTTAGTTCTCAGTTAATCTTAAGTAAGCCATTCTTTTTTAGCCTTCAATCCAAATGTGCAATATTGAGAAAACAATATTCATCTTCCTTTTAAGTGTTGTTAGGATTACCAAAATAATCATTTTAGAAGTTTTATTAGTATCTTTACTATAGCTATTACTATATTTTCCTAGATATCAATGTTAACCACATATAATTAAGATTCCAAGGATCCTCAAAGTCTGTAGAACAGTCAGCACATTTGGGATTTTCAGGGTGCATTGTAAGCTGACATTGGGTAGGACTGTCAGTTCAGAAAATGATATGACAGTAATGACAAAATATTCATTTTCCAGAAGGCAGCTGTTAAGACTAAATGCAAAGTAACTTGTAACTTGCCCAATAATCTAGGTACAAAGCAGCAATGGGGCCAGAGCCTGCAAATGAAAATGTACTCTTTGGAACCAAAATAAAGATGGCATTGGAGAGAAGCATTTTATCATGTGCCATGCAAGCAAGCCTGCCAATTAAAAACAAATTTTAAGAAATGAAATTAAAAAAGGAAGGGCAGGAAGCCAGGAAAAGGTATCCATGCTGGACACTGAAGCTAAATCTGCCTATTTAAAGGGAAGTATGCAGTGCCTTTTAGTATAAAGCAGTACCTGTTCGTATAAATACCAATCAAATGGGCTCTTCCATCACCCAGCTGGCCTGCCCAGCTACCAAACTAACAAGAGAAAGAGAGAAAAAGGTACAAAATACTTAAACTCTTATTATTTTCAGTGAATTTAGACCTACAATTGTGTTCCTAGCCTTAGAAAAAACAAATTCAACATATTTTTCACAAGCCGATATACCAAACTTAGCCACAGTTCGGGGCAGCATTAAGCAAGTTATATTCCATTCCAGTAATGAAATATAGCAGTAACAGAGAATGAGTGATACAACTTACTTCCAGCCAATAAGCAGAGGGAGAGGAGCTGGACTCTTGCCCATAGGCAGTGGCAAGCTATAAAACTTGAATAAATTGCACACTTTGGCTACTGGAAACTCCTGTGTTGAGTTGCAGAGTTAACAGACTCTACTGGTGGTCTTCAAGCTTTTCTCTTGGAACCATAAGGGACATAAAATGGCTCTTTCTTAAAACAACAACAACAAATGCTGTATGTGTTAGGACTCAAATGAATGCACTGGAAAACCACCTTCCCTGATATGGGATAACATCACAGCCATGTCCAAAAGCAAGGATGGGGAACCGTTTTCTGCCCATGGGCCAAATTCCATTCTGGAGAAGATCTTGGTGGTTAAATGTGGTGTGTTCATATTTATTACAGTAGGTGATATATCATTGAAATGTGGATCTTTCAATGTACTGTTGAACCCTCACCCTTGATTGACTGGGCACATTGTGCTTGGGGTCAGGCCAGATACAGCTTTGGAGGAGATTAAATGGGAGGTGAAGTAAAAAAGGATAAAAAGCCTACTTTGGTCAAAAGAATTAAGGTTCTTCTTCTCTTTATTTCAACATCTGAATTATTTCCTAAGAGTCATGTCATGCTTTGCATGCCTGACAGCTGAAACCCTGGAGTTCACTTCTGAGCAGACATAATACTTCTCTCTATATATGTAACTCTAAATTACATCATCTCAATTATTAGCAACCTGTAAGATGTGCAATGCATGTAAAAGATGGAAAGGAATTGTGTGTCCAATGTGGCACCACAGAAGAAATGGTATTTTACTGGAATGCACTGGTAACAAATGGTATATCACACTGCTGTACCGTATCAGTCAAACTTTTTAAAAAATGTGGACAGATGCCAACCTTACCCCCTTTCTTCTAAATTTTCAAACAAAAAGTGTGTTGGATATGTATCTTTGTACTCCTCATGTGGGGGAAGAGGTTTCATTTACCTGATGGCCACCATATCTGTGGGCAAGGGGCAGAGACCCCAAGATAATTTTTGCCCCACTGACAAGCTGTAGAAAGTCATCTGAGCCTGAGACAGATATGTCTAGATCCAACAAGTCTTCCAGGACTTCCTAAAGGGGGATAACAGAGAAATTACCAAGAGTCTTAGAGCTGCAAAATTGGAAATTAAAATGCTGCTTATATCCATGAATTTTCACTGACTGTATGGGCACTACAGGGCAAGGGATATGTGAGGTTTTCTGACTATTCCTGCTCTCTTCCCTCACAAGGCACATACTCTTTTTTTTTTTTAATATGAGCTGTCCAGAGACTCAGAGTGATTGGATGGCCTAAAAATACCCCAAATAAATAAATAAAATAAACCAAATCATCTGAATTTTTTTATTGTTTCGGGAGACTTGTAACAGCTGTTTGGAACCACCCCTATTTGTCCTCTGCCCTGCCTACACACACATACGTACTCAGTTCTGGAGTCAATGTTGGTTCAAGCTATACCTGTCCAGACATTTTCACTAGCCAATTTTGAAATCTGCTTCTAACCATGGTATAGCAGATTGGTTTGATGTTAATCATCACTGGTGAAAACACCAGAGGCAATGTAATACTAATCAGACTTGTTTCCAAATCTGAAAGGACTGGGAACACTATTGGAATGATCTAGGAGGAAAGGAGGACACAGAAACACAAAATTACCCCAGTACTGTAGTATCTCTAGTCCAAATACTTGCTCTGTACTAGGTTTAGACATGGGTGACTAAGGCTCAGATCTGACATCTGTTCATTGGCCTTGGGTTACAGTTCTGAAATTGGAAGGGGTCAGTGGTGGGAAAATGTTGAGAGAGGATAAAGGCAGGAAAAGGTGGAGTTCAAAGGTTTTATCAGTGCAGAGGATATGCCCAGTATGCTAAAGGTCTTAAACCAAAGGTCTCCAATTCAATCCTTGGTATCTCCAAATAGGGCATGGAAATGATTTATCTGAAATCTTGAGGAACCAATACCAGTCAGTGAACTAACCAGTACATAATTAGAGGGAAGCATTATGCCTGCAGCAAGCCATTATGAAAACTGGAAGGAAAAATCCACCCGTGCAGAGGTGGTGGCACCATTAGGGATCTTTTCAAACGTTGTGGTAGAGCTAGCACAAATGCCCGGAAGGAGTGGAATGATGAGTAGAGACATTCAGTGATCATAGATTACTTTTTAAAAAGAAGCTTACATAAAGCAGCAACACTGTATCAGTTCTAAATAAAGAAAAGAGCCTAACCTCAGAAACAGCTACAAGTAGAACTCTGGATTTAAACGGTGTAGGGTAAGCCACTGAAAAAATGACATCTGGCACTTCATGAACATAATTATCTTGATTGTGATCAATGGGAAATGTAGCTAAAGGAAACAAATACATTCTTTTCATACACTCCAAACAGTTAGTCATAATAGTGTTTTACAGCAAAAATAACAGAATCCTGTTTGTCAACTCCAGCATCCCCATTTATTAGGACCAATCAAAATCTCACAAAATAATTTGCAAGTGTTCGGGTTTTGCGTAATTCATAAACTAGGCACCACAGGCAGCAGGGAATTGAAAAGGGTGGGTGGGAATTTCACAAAAGGACCAAAATTAGACTAGATTTTGTGATTCTGAGGTCTGTATTTAGAGCCAGTCTCATGATGCAGAATGCAGGCTGAATTAATTGATATCAGCTAGGTACTGTAGGCATCCACTTACACATAAGGTTCTCGGGCAAAGACACAATGGCTGATCCTCATTTCTGAAAACATAAAGGATGGCCATTATGCAGATCCATCTCTTGCCTTCTCACTGCCTTCTTTAATTTCATCTGTATTATCTGCTCCTAATTTTATTTAGATTATATTATATATTTTAATATGATGATGATCGCCACTATGGTTTTTACTTTGATTTAACCATTGGATGCCAAATATGGAAAACAGGGTATAATTTTAAATGCATAGCCTCAATTAACTGTAAAAAGCAGTACTACTGGTCCCAATTCAGAATTAGTCATGCTTTGGAGCAGGTATATGCAAATCTGTTTCCCAAGCTGATCAGGATCAAGTGTCCCAGTCATTGAAGAAGCTAAGTTTCTGGCAGTAAACAGACATCTTCCTCAGAGCTGCTGCTCTTCCTGTTCCAGTGGAATCAGCAAATGAAAGGTATTTTGGTAGTACTACGCTGAGTGCATATGTCACAGAATTCAGGGAAGAGGAAGGCCCAACCACAAATGGCAGGATGGGAAGCCAAGCCATGCTTAATATGTATAAGTCTCACTGAAATCAATAGGACATGTTAGCTTGTCCTATCACCTTCAATAGTCATTATTTTATACTTTGTATAAATTGGAATTTTTATTTCATAACCATGAAAATTGTCCGTCCTTCTAAAGTACCCCTTAGCAGTGACTGCTTTCCATTTTAATGTATTTTATCTTGGCTGCAGACATCAACTTAGATTAATGTAAAACATATTGGAAAAATACCTGTAAATTTTTCTGTGGAAAGTCTCCACCCAGCAAAAGAAGATAATTTCCTTTTCCTTTCACAATATTCTTGATCCATGCTTGATTTGTTGATGTAATTGTGCACATGGTTAAAACTACCTGCAGCAGTTACTGAGTCCAGAAGATAGCATGCAGAATGACATACCAGCATGAACCCAGTGAACAACCATGATACTGCACAATACCTTGACATCATACGTTCTAGAACCTTTCTTAATGAAGACCCATGTCTATATGGAACCAAAAGCAAGAGATGAGAAGATCAGGATTATTTTGAATCATTCACATGTAATGCCTCCTTGCCTTCTTAGCTTTGCAAATAGATTGACAATACTTTCAGCCCTTGAAAATTATTACACAAAAATGCAATTTTGAAAATATGTTTTTAAAATATTTGTTTGTAAATCATATAGGGAATTAGCCACAAAATTCTGTACAAAATCTATCATAAAAGAATTGAAGATCTTGTAAGAACAGAGCCCATTGATGAGCAGATGTTACAAATCAATGTACTAGCACAATATCAATAGCACTAATACACAGGCACTTTTGGATGTTTTCTGGATGAAGGTGTGAGAAATGAAATGTTACTAAGTATTAAGAATGAAAAACAGGAATACGACAAGATCATTGAAGCATCTTAAGGCCAAAAGACCTGAGAATCAAAACATGTAAATGGTTGTTTTTAAGAGAAGCAGGGCATTTTACTTCAGAGTCCTGAGAAATGCCAGGAGGGGTAAAATTGAAGGACAGTAGTAAAACTGTCACCTTCAGTGGAGGAGAGCAGACAATGGATTACTTTATAATGGGTGGTAAAGAGTCTGAAGAGAGGCCTGTTCTCCTTATCCTCCCCATTTTTGATTAAAGGAGCAAATTGGCATCCAAGAAGACTTCTCAAGGCCATTTTGACTGTTTGAACTGCACATGCGTAATAGGTTCATAAATAGTAAATGACACACCTCTCATAGGTAATAGGTTTATTAGCATGAACATGGGTTGTATGTGCAAGGGGGGGTTCATATCAAGGGGTAGTATGTAGTAGACGAACGGAGAAGACCGTGCCCTCTGAGTAGCCCAGCCAATGGGGGAAAGGAGATAGGGCCTGCGAGCCAATGAAAGGGATAAAAGTGAATGTTGTGTGTGTGAACGGCAGGCTACCTGTGTGGTGGGTGCCCGCTCTTGCAAGAACAAATTAAACTTTTCTGCTTGGTACTTTGCCTCCCGTATCATCATTGCTTGGATTCTATTGGATATATTTTTCTATATCTTACACAGGTTACTGGTGATAGTATTTCGTTTATACACAGGCACACACATTTTTTTCTTGTAGCATTTTGAATTATATTATGCCTTGATTGCATTGGTTCATGAGAAAAGGAATTCCAAAATCTCTGAATAAATAGCTTTATTAACACCAACCAAAATGCACAAAAGCTTGCATTCTTTTTTAACATTTTAACTAGTCTTAATTTTATTTATTACATTTATATTTACAGCTGTAGCTGTCTGGGTGGTTCCTAGTAAAGGTATTACTCAACTGTGGTTTTTATAATGAGCCTGTAAGTTTTATTTTAAACTCCTACAGTTAGCAATCGAAGTGATTGTGTGTAAAAAAAAAGAAAAGAAAAGAAAGAAAAATTAAGCATGGGAGAAGTATAGAAATATGCAATCATTATTCAAAATATTGCCTATTTTAATAGGCCAGTTATTTATTGCAAATGACCCAATTCAACATTTAAGCATGGTGTTCCAGTTTTTAAAAATCCATGTTGATATTTGCTTTATTTTATAAAAACTAAGATATTAATTTTAAATCTGTTTTAAGCTTTACATTTTAGGAAAATTTTGAGTTTACAATGTGAAAAATAGTATTTAGGGAAATCAGTTTGCATGAGATATGACATAATAAACAATGCTCGATACAAATACTTTTCATTCTTCAATGCACTAGATGAAAGCAATAGAAGTTATTGATTTTCAAAAGAGGGAAACAAGCTCAATTTGCCAAGATTTACATTTGTGATTTTGAAAGTATCTTCTTATTGCAGGAGTGTATTATGATTTTTCCTTGGTGAGGGAAATTCATTTTTCACACACGCAGCGTGATATCCGGCATTCAAGCGTCCTATTATTTAAGGCTGCAATCTTATAGTATTTAACGGAAAATAAGCTTAGGACTTCGGAGTAGGCACTTATAGGACTTAAGAATACTGAATATTCTTCAGTTAAGTAATTTATATAGCTCTCCTAATGGAATCCCTATTGAAACAGGTTTCAAAACTCGTCAAAGAAATGTTTCACGTCGGTTGTAGTCTTCCTGCCTACCATAAATTATACTCAAATAATTTTGTCTTCTCCTTCCTTCCTGCTCTTTTTGGCCAGGAAGAATGCATATGCCTTTTTGCATGCGACGCAGAAATTCAACGGGTAAAGCTCTCCCTCACATACAAGTGCTGAGGGGGGTCTCACCTGCAGAAGTTGTGCCTGCAAGAGCCTTTCTGAAAACTGCACGTAAATTGCAATCCCAAACACCTTCATACCTGATTCCCCGGGGAAGTGCGGGAGGGCGGCGGGGCCCTCCGCCTCGCTCACCGGCGCTGGACTCCCTCTCCCACCGCTAACAGGCAGCGCAGAGGCGGCACCTCGCGCCCCGCCCTGCCGTCACCTCAAGACCCTCCTTGGCCTCCGCGCAGGAGAGCGGGTAGGCGGCGTTGGCACCAGGCGGCCCTCTTGCACGCGTAGCCTCCGGGGCTTCCGCGTCCGGGTCGTCAGCGCGGCTGCGGCAGCGAGGCCGGCCTAGCGGCACAGGCAGCTCGCGTCGGCGGCCCGGCCAGGCCCTGCTCGGCTCGGCGGACGCGGCCATGGCGCTCTGGTGGTGGCACCGCTGCTGCTGCTCGTGCGCCGTCTCTGCCCGGTCGGCCGGGCTCTCCGGCCCTGTGCGGAGTTTGGGATCGGCCGGCGGCGGCGGCAGGCCGTTGGCTGAGGGACTAGTCGCGCCTGTGAAGAGGGTGGCGGTGAGTGAGCCCGGGCGAATGGAGGTGACGGGAATGAATGGGCGCCGCCGTGATTTCCCGGGACGGGAAGCGGCAGCGCGTCGAGTGGAAGAGTCTGGGGTGCCCGGGGCAGACGGGCGGAGGAGGAAGAGGGCAGCGAACCTCTGGGGAGAGGCGCGACTTTTGGAGGCTGCCTTGCTCCAAAATTAGCCATCATATGTAAAATGGGAAAGGGTAAAGCGGATTATCACTGTGCGCGTCTTTGCGCGGAAAGGCTGAAAAGTGTGGGGGCTTTTCTCACAGTTGCACCCTGCTTCAGGAGCTCAAGGCAGACGATGTACACGCATCATCTAGCTTTGCTAGTTCTCACAGAACGTTAGGCGGAAACATCGTGGCCGGCCCAAGGTCACCCATTGAATGGGATTTTGAACTTGGGTCTTCCTGTTTCTGGCTCAACAGCCAGTATGGGAGGAGCGTGGAGAAAGGGTAGAGACAGACTTAACTTCCTTAATCTTATTGAGAGAAAGTTGGGAAGCCCCTCATAAAATGATGGGCTCTAGATACAAGTGGAGAAAAGGGTATATTTCTTCACTTGCGGGATTTGCTGCAAAAAGACTTTCGATTTAGTCATACTTAAACATATTTAAATCTCTGGAAGTTAAATTAGAGAGTGTAGTCCTATCAAGACGATTCTCGCCTTCCCACTCCTTCCAGTCTGCTTCTAGCAACTGCATGTCAGAGGCTGGAAAGTAGGATGCTGGAACAGCTTCAAGACCCGTTGAATTCTAGTTACCTCCGTCTGTCCCCCTCTCTGCAAAATGCCTGATTTTTGGAAAGCAGCTGGTGAGGCTCTTTCATGGTGGCTGCAAAAAAATAGTAGAGGGAGATTGAGTTCCAGTTCCTAGTCCTGAGGTTGTAGACAGTGGTCCAGCCTTGGATCTGGGAATCCAAACTCATACAATGTGTAGGGGCCATAGAATCATTTCCTCTGAGATGTATGTAAGCCCATGGATTTCACTGTGCCTGTAATCTAATTATGGTTAAATCTGGCTCCAGTATAAACACATCGATGAAAGAACTATTCTATTATTTTAAAATAGAAATACATAAATAAGTGACCATTGGTATAATCACAGGATAAGCACTAATGCATCCAGTAAAAAAACTCAGTGTGCGGATAATCATGCGATCAAGATGTAATGTCTCCATTTCGCAAAATGATATTTATTGATTATATCTTTACTAGATGGACCTCTCTATTTGTCTAAGTCTGGATCTAGCCCACTGGCAAATCCATGGAAGGGATTGACATGTTCATGGAAGATAAATTGGTGCCTATTGTCATGCTGGTTAAATTGTGGTGTCGGATTGAGGATCTGGGATCTAGTCCCCACTTCAGCCAGTCACTCACTCTCAGCAACAATCCTGTGAGGATAAAATAGAGCTTTATGAGCTGCCTATGGCTTCTCACAAGAGCAAAAAGGGCAGGATAGAAAGGCCAAGTAGTAGCAGTAATAGTACCCCTGAATAGCATTTACCAGGGCAGGGGGCAGAGGAGAAATGTTGGGTCACCGATTACCTACATGCCTGTGGGGTTTCTTCTTATCAGCTTTGTGAATCAGCCTGCAAAAGTCACTGGCTTGAAAAAAAAAGGTTTAGTAGACTGTTGAGTGCATTTTATTTATTTATTTATTTATTTAAGATATTTATATGCCGTCCTGTCACAAAAGCCTCAGGACAGCTTACATAAAATATAACAAATTCCCAACCCACACTGGCTGCAGTTAGAAACATAGAAAAGACAACATTAAAATTTATTAAAATATTGCCGAAATAAAAAGGTCTTAACCTGGCACCGAAAAACAAATAACGACGGCGCCGGGCGGACCTCTCTGGCGAGCGCATTCCATAGGCGGGGCGCCACCGCAGAGAAAGCCCTCCTCCGGGTACTTTGCCTCCTAATGTCTTTCACGGAGGGTTCCCGGAGGAGGGCCTCTGCTGCCAACCTCAGGGGGCGGGAGGGCAAGTATGGGAGAAGGCGTTCCTTTAGGTATCCAGGTCCCAAGCCGTTGTACGCTGCCCTGTAGCCTGCAGATTAACAACCGCTGCCTCTCCCAAGGATGCACTTGCAGCCTTCCAGACCCAAGTGTGAATCCTTCCCTTAGTTCTCCCAAATAACCATGAAAGGCAAGGGTTGTATATACAGGCGGTAGATCTAACCTGGCCAAGCACCTTGTCTACTTTCTCAGGCCTCATGTAACTGCAGCTCATCCAACAAAACTAGACCAGACAGAGCTCTAGATGTCTCTATTGAAAGAACTGCATTAGCTGCAGAGTCCAGCTCACAATCAATCTGAGTGACTTTAACTTCAAAGTGCTGAGCAAACTGATCACAGCGAGCTGCTGAGGGTTCTGCAGTTTTTTCTGCTGGTCCAAGATATAAAAGGCCATGTACCACTCAGAAAATCTCAGCTGGAGAACACCGTGAAAACACAATGTTGGTGACAAAGAATCAGTGCTTTGCCATCTTCACTGCCACAGAATAGGCTCTAATGAGTGCTGGGCTGTGTCTGGTTGGACTCCTCACAAGTTCTCTCCATCCAAGTTGTAGCTGTGTCCCTTCTTGCTTCATTGCTCTCAGCTCAGATGTATACAACAGAGCTGACTGGGTTCTGCTCAAGGAGCGAGGACACTTGGGTGCACTTGTGTCAACCACCTGAGCCATCTTCGTATTCCACAGAATGACTTGCGCTTTGGCAAGAGCACCAACCATACCAGCCAGAAATCCCCCCAGAGCCCTCTGAAAACTATTCACAGGATCCATTGGTCTCTGGGGGAAGACCATCCTAATAGGTCCCACACCCTTGTGGAGGGGAAAAGGAGCCAAGATTCTAAACCTCAACAGGAAATGTTGCGACCACAACATTCTACTTCCAGATCATTATCTTCCTGTTCAATTGAGAAAACCAAGGGTTTGTCCTTTTTACATGGGTTGGGCCAGTAACATGTTGAGACAGCCCCATGGTTATCATGGCAGCCATGAAGTCCTGAGCCACCCTGGATAAGGCAGCCTCGATACAGAAATTCAGGTCCCTCAGAATCAGCATTCCTGGAGTGCTCAACATCAGGCCTGAGACCTGATGTTAGTTAGCTGTGCAGTGGGATGGGAGGTACACCAGCAGAATCCCTAACCTGTCTTGGGCACCCAACACATGATACAAACACTTAAGACTTGCATTCAAGTGAACAGGAAACCTAAAGAAGGAGAGCGAATCCTTATAGACAATGGGCACACCTCTGCCCAGTCCTCAAGGTGATTTTGGTGCTACACTGAGTATCTGTGGACACAACTGGGAGAGAACAACCCACCCATCTCCCACACCAGTCACAGTAATACAGGTCAGGTCAGCCTCTTCATCCATAATCAAATCAAGGAAGAGTGAGATCTTATTTTGGGCTGACCTGGTATTCATCAGCACCAGGCCTGAAGACAGACTGGTACAGCTGCCAGAATTGTCTGGCTGGGGGAAGAATCAGAAGAGGGAATAGCTGTCAAATAACTAACTCTTCTCCTTTGTTGGCCAGGTAATCCCCCCCATGCCATATCTCCCCTTACCCATAACCACAGCAATAGGGGCACCCCCATGCTTCCCAACCCCATGTCATGCTAAAAACCAGTTATTGCATCTGGGTTGTGGAGTTGTCCTCTTCAGTCTGCTGGCAAAAGTTTGAAGCTGAGTGGAAAATGCTCTTTGGCACCACCCTTTGGCACTTGCTCAAAGCCAACCAGACGCAGCCTAGAGCCCTAAGAGGCCTGCCTGTGTCCATGAGCTGCAGGTGGCACCTGTCACTCAACTGCTGTCTTCCGCTGTCCCGTGCCCCAGCTGCTGCCACCAGCCAGCCCCAGTCCACAATGTTGGGCAGTGCATGGGAGAGGAGTTCATGAGGGAAAGAAACAGAGGTCTTCCCCCTTGCATTTCCCACTGCCTTGCAGAACAGAGAAGAGAACTTCCCTCTCTTGGAAGTCCAGCTGGTTTATTTGCTGAGTGCAGAGGACTGAGTCCTCCCTTCTCTGCCTGGAATCCCTTACTGTACCAGTCTACCCAATCTGTGCAGGGCAGATGGTGCTTCAAGTGCTGAGGGATCATGCAGAAGAATTCTATTGACTGACTCCATTTTTCCTTGGAGGAGGTTTCCTGGCAGCCTAAGGGTTGCCATAACATTTTGCACCTTAGCCCAATAAAAGAGCCCTACATCACAGAAGGAAGAACATTCTCCAGATAGCTTAAAGGAAGGAATTGCAAAATTCACTTTACAGTTTTGTTTCATAACACCTGCCCCACAGGAGGAATTATACAAGAGTTTGGGAGGAATACAAACTGGCTTGAAGGAATAAAATGAAAATATCCTTCCTTCTGCTTTTCTTTTTTAAATAGTTAATTGCCCATGATGAGTGGCAATTGACTCCAAATGGCCAGAGAATATGAAGAGTTCGTTCTTTTTCTGCTGATGTACTATAGACAACTAACCTAGCTGTGGTATGGGAACACAAGCTGGTAATGTTTGCAGACTTATTTGTAAGCCTATATTAAATAGTTACATGAAAGGTAATTTTGCAATGAATAAAATACACTTCTGTTTCTTTTCCTTCTATGGGCAGACGTGCGGTTTTCTAGGGAGAAGTTCATCGCTGTCCTTACCCAAAATGCGTAGCATATTTTGGCGGTAAGTTGAAGACCTTGTACTCCACATATTTTTAAAGTGAGTTTCAGATAGCTTGGCCTAGAGATTTACCTAACATGGGTGCTACTGCATCCTATACAACTAACTATAAATTGGTAAATTAGCTTTAGAGCTATGCATTTTCCCCATGTCATACAACAGCTTCAGCAGCACTTGTCTTCTGTTTCAAATCACTTTAATTTTATTCCTAACTACTACTTATCTCAAAACATATTTGGACACATTCCACTGAGATGTTCTCTTCCTCAAGCCTGCCAGGATAGCAACCCACCTTGCCTACAAACATTCCAAAATTCCTTCCAGTGACTTTAGTCCTATTTTGATGCCTGAAGACTAGTGACTGTATTTTAAGACTGCTTGCATTACTAGAAAAACATTACTGACACGAGATCTTTTTTACATTTACAACAAAACTGGCATGTGGCACAATATGGCCTAAATGGCCCTCAGTATAGCTCCCTACCTCCTGTTCATATTATTAGAAACAAGTCTGATGAGAACTATCTTCTGCATTTGCAGCAAGGCTAGTATGTGGACAGCGTACTTTGCTCTGTCCGTCCTTCCTGGTCCTGTATTCCTTCAGATAGTATTCCAGTAATGTGTTTCCTCTTTTTAACAGCTGCAGGCAGGAACTGATTTGGTCTCACTGCAGCTGTCCCTTTAACCCCGACTGCCACCTGGATGCTGCAATCCAGCTGCAGAACCTTATCCTTTTAGGGGCAGCCATGAGCTACCCCCTCAAAGTGCCCTGAAGCACTTTGGAGGGCCTGCCAGTGGTTGCCCACAATTTTTTAATTATTTTTTTCCACCCACAAATGGATGTAAAAATATTTAGAGCTATCTTTGTTGCACAAAAAGGTCTCATTCACTGAAGTGCAACAGGGAAAGTTTAACTTGCAGCTGAGACAATGTGTTGAGAGGTGCTCACTATATATTGTCCCAAACAAAGCTATAAATTCATTCTCTCTCTCCCCTCTCACCCCTTGCTCTCAATTGCCAAGCTGTGGAAGATGGACATTGAAAGTAAAGGTATGAGGGGCTGCTTGTGGAAAAGGAGAAACAAACAACACCTGCATCCAGACTAGTTCCTTCTCTTTCTGTGTTTCGCTCTTTGTTATCCAAGGGAGGAAAATGTTCCCCCTTTGCCCTGACCCTCCTGGTTTTCGGGCAGGCCCCCCCCCACTTTTTTAAAGGGAAAAGGAGCTGAACTGACAAGCTGCATTACTTCTGAGTAAAAACACTTACACTCTTTTCCTCATGCCTTCCTATGATTCTGATTGTTTATTAGATCCTGAAAATCTTGGATGTTTCATTGTTGACTCCTGTTAATGGTGAGCTATATGAAAGCTTACAGGTAGTAAAAGTTTACCACATCTCTATAGTTACAGAAACCAAGAGGAACAGTGATTTGTAGCTTCATCAAACTGACATATAGACTGCGCTTTGGACCTCAATTCCGTTGAGATTCAAAACTGGAAAAGAGATGCAAGTTTTAAAATGCTAAAATGCAAAGCAGTTGCTTCTTTTAAGCATGTACAAAACCCTACAAAGATAGTGAAGCAAGTTTGAGGAACTGAGGCAAGTAGGGATGATGAAATACGAAGCTGACAAATGGAAAGCTAATAAATCCCTGGGCCCAAATGTTACATATCCTAGAGTTCTTAAAGAACTCGAATATGAAAATGCTGATCTAACAAAAAAGGTAGCATGACTTGAAGATTAGCCTTTGTAATGAAACACCTGGATGATGGCCAGTGTAGATGGCCACCCAATTATTTAATTAATTTAATGTAATTAATTTAATTTAATTTAAGTAATTAAGTAACATTAAGGTAATGCCAAGTTATGCCATGGAGTACCACAGGGTCCATTTTGTCCCCCTTGCTGTTCAACATTTACATGAAACCGCTGGGAGAGGTCATCAGGAGGTGTGGGCTGCGGAACCATCAGTACGCTGATGATACCCAGCTCTACCTCTCGTTTTCCACCAATCCAGGTGAGGCAGTGGCTGTACTGAACCGGTGCCTGGCCGAGGTAATGGGCTGGATGAGGGCCAATAAACTGAAGCTCAATCCAGACAAGACAGAGGTCCTGTTGGTTGGTGGTTCTGGCTTTGGAGAGGGTGAACTGAACCTTGTTCTGAATGGGGTTGCACTCCCTCTTAGGGACAAGGTTCGCAGCTTGGGAGTGCTCCTCGACCCGGAGCTTTCACTAGAAGCTCAGGTGACAGCAGTGGCGAGGAGCTTTGGCTGATCCACCAGCTGCACCCCTATCTGGAGTATGACTGCCTCGCGACAGTGACACATGCATTGGTGACTTCCCGTCTCGACTTCTGTAACGCGCTCTACGTGGGGCTACCCTTGAAGACGGTCCGGATACTTCAACTGGTTCAAAACAGAGCTGCCAGGCTGCTGACGGGGACTGGGCGTTGTGTTCACATGACTCCAGTTCTCCTTCAGCTTCACTGGCTTCCCACTGAAGTCCGGGCCCAATTCAAGGTGTTGGTGATGACCTATAAAGCCCTAAACGGCTTGGGTCCTGGTTACCTGAAGGAGCGCTTGCATCCATATATGCCCAGCCGCCCCTTGAGATCGGCGGGGGAGGCCCTTCTCCGGGAACCCTCCATGAAAGAAATTAGGAGGGTGGGTACTCGGAGGAGGGCTTTCTCTGCAGTGGCGCCTAAGTTATGGAACGCGCTCCCCAGGGAGGTCCGCCTGGCGCCGTCGTTATTTGTTTTTCGGCGCCAGGCAAAGACCTTTTTATTCAAGCGGCATTTTAACTGTTAACATTATTGGTTTTATTTGGCCAGGGCGGCTTATTTTATACTGTATTGCTGTATTTTAATTTAATATTTATATTTTTAATTTATATTATAATTATTTTAACTGATGATGTGAGCCGCCCCGAAGCTTCGGCGAATGGGGCGGCATAAAAATGTTTTAATAAATAAATAAATAAATAAATAAATAAATAAATAAATAAAGTAAAATAAAATTAGTAAACAGAAAGACAGGCCCTGCTGAAAAAAGATCAACAAAGATAAGTCATGGTTCAATAACCTTTTAGAGTTTTTTGAGAGTTTGCATAAATATGGACACGGGAGACATTGCTCCTTTGGATTACTAAAGGCCTTTTGATGAAGTCCCTCAGCAACAGCTTATGAGCAAGCTAGTGTTCATGGAATAAGAGGGGAGGTCCTCATATGGATCGCCCACTGGTTAAAGAACAGAAAGTGAAGATGGGAATGGTAACTTTCTTCTGAGGAAGGATATACTGGTGGGCCCTGTAGGAGACCACTGCTTTTCCAGCTTGCTCCCAATCAATCAAGATGAGCAATGAGTGGTGAGCTGGCCAAGTTTGCTGATGTCATGGACAGCAAAATTAGAAATCAAAATGGAAAATATGGTTCTGTGTAACCAAATTTAAAGTGATGCACAGTGAGGCAAAAAAATCACCAATTTCACATGCATGCTGGTTGGATCTGAGCTACTGATGACTGGAGGGATTCTTCCCTCCATTACTTCAAGCGCCTATGTGGAACCTGCTTTTTCACTGAGCAATCTCACTTACGGGTTTGTTAAAACTTATGCTGGTCTTAAATATTATAATTCAGAGTTCCACAAGCTGACCCTTTGCACTGTCATCAATTCTGTTAGACTACTTTAAACCCTTCAAGTAGCTGGAAGAAGAAACTTGTCAGATGGGCATGTGTGTTAGAGGTCAGGTGGACTATTAAGCAAGTAATTTATCAAAGGCATATTTTGTATGTAAGTGATTACTAGTATGTATTTTGGGGTTTCCAAAAGATTGCTTAGTGACAGTTCTTTAGGACTTAATATAGCATTGCTATGTCAAACCACTAAGAACAATTTTATATCAGGCCAAATCCCTAGACCTCCATCCCAACCAAATACCTTTACAACCAGGTCCATCTTTGGGGCACAGTCTTCTTCTGACACCTGTGGTCCCCCTCTTATGTTACTGGCTGTTTGGATCATTTATCTGGATTTGTATTGCCTGTTTGGATGAAAGCCTTCTGATACCAGCTTAGGGCAGCCTTCTGGCATAACACACTCCACTGCTCCCAACTCCTGATCTTTACCAGCCATTTATGATTATTCGCCAAAAAGGGAATAGTTTAATATTTAAGCCTTCATTTTCTGCTTAGCTTTCTTGTCCTTTAAAAAACCACATTCCAAGCAGCAGAGCTCCCTCTCTTTTTCTGATTAAATTCCTTAACTGCCAGCTATCATACCCCATACCTCAACTGTCATTTTCCAACTACCTGTAGTCAGAATGGAGTTGACCTGATTCAGGCACCATCTAACAATATTCATTCAGCAATTGC